AGGGGCGGGGGCAGAGGCGGAGGCAGAGGAGGCAGGGGAGACCGAGACAAGACGACGACGGACGCGATCTACACCATGTACTACGTGATCGCGGGCGTGGCGTTCGGCTGTCTCTGCCTGTGGGCGTGGCGGCGCGCCGCGGCGTGGTACTACCGCCGGAAGGTGGGGCGTGCGCGCGCGGCGGGCGTGCGCTCGCAGGACGACAAGGACAAGGACAACAAGGGGGCGCTGGCGCGCGCCCCAAGCGCAGCCAGCGCGGTGCTCAGCAACTGGGCGTACGTCAAAGTCGTGCCGCTGTGGATGTTCCAGCACGTCACGCTCGCCGAGTGGTTCTGGAGCGTGGCGTATCTCGGCATCGCGCTCGGCCTCGGGTTCTGGGGCTGTATTCGAGACGGCCGCCTCGACTACGCCAACCCGATGGGATACGTTGCGTTCGGGCAGATCCCGATCCTCATCGCGCTCGCGGGCCGCAACAACACCGTGTCGTGGATCACGGGGGTGAGCTACGAAAAGCTCAACTACCTCCACAGGATGAGCGGGCGCGTCGCGGTCCTCGCGACGTGGCTGCATACGCTCGGCTGGTTCCACCAGGGGCTGGGGCCGCACGGGCCCGGCTCGGAGCTCTTCCTCTCGGGCATGCTCGGCGCCGTCGCCGCCCTCATCATGTGGCTCACGAGCTTCGCCCTCGTCCGCAGAGTCATGTACGAGTTCTTCCTCGTCGTCCACATCCTCATGTGCTTCATCTTCATCGTCGCGAGCTGGTACCACTGGCCGATGCTCGGGTGGTGGTGCTGGACCGGCCTGATTTTCTGGGGCTTTGACCGCGGCCTCGGCTTCCTCCGCATGATCCTCGTCAACAAGGCTTGGCTCCTCCCCTTCGCCTCGAAGCGGGCCGAGCACTCGGCGTGTGTCGTCGAGCTCGTCGACCCCGCCGTCCTCCGCATCACCGTCCCCACCCGCTCCCTCTTCCGCTGGAGCCCCGGCCAACACGCCCTCATCACGATGCCACAGGTCGCGACGCTGCGGTACGAGCAGCACCCGTTCACGATCGCCTCGGCGGCCGGCGACGCCGTCTTCCTCGTGCGTGCCCAAAAGGGCTTCACCGCCCGCCTCCTCGCCCGCATGCAGTCGGACGTCGAGTCGGGCCTCAACGCCTACCTCGAAGGCCCGTACGGCGTGAGCCACCACGCCGAGCTGCTGGGGCACGACACCCTCCTCCTCATGTGCGGCGGCACGGGCATTACCTACGGCACCTCGCACCTCCTCGGCGCCGTCGCCGCCGCGCACAAAGGCACCACCGCTCTCTCCGCCCTCCGGCTGGTGTGGAACGTGCGCGACGCCGCCCACGTCGCGTGGATCGCGCCGCTGCTAAACAAAGCCCTTGAGAACGGCACAGCACACATGGCCGTCGCCATCGACGTGTACGTGACGCGCACGGGCGCGTCGCTTGAGCCGGGGCCGGGGCACGAGCCAGGGCCGGGGCACGAGCCAGGGCCGGGGCACGAGCCAGGGCCGGGGCACGAGCCAGGGCCGGGGCACACGCCGGACTCGGAGGAGGATTCGGGGGCGACGACGCCCGCGACCCTCTCCTCGTCCGAGGCGGTTGACAAAGTCTCCGTTCCCGAAAAGCCGACGTACGGTCTATCCGAGCAGGCGGCGCGGTTCGTGTCGTTCCACAAGGGCCGGTCGCCGGCGGAAATGATCCTCCGCGCCGACACGGAGCGGTCGGCGACCGACGCGGCCGGCGTCGCGGTCGGTGTGTGCGGCCCGCTCGAGCTGCAGCTCGACGTGCGCCGCGCCATCTGCCGCGTTAATTCGGCGAGCGCGATCCTGCGCGGGCAGCCGCCGATCGAGCTCCATGTCGAGAGCTTTGGGTGGTAGATTGGAAGGGGGGGACAAAAGCGTGCAGCGGTACATAGATGTCTGGAATGTAAATGCAAGAAGTAATGGGCGTGGCGAGGTGACTTTGACATGATGTTGGGCGCCAATACTGTTACAGTATTACAATATCAATCGTGTACAGCGCCTTGCGTCGGATCTGTTTCAAGTAGGAGAATTTAGCCTCCTCCGTGTTTCCGGGCTGTTGACCCCAACGTTCACAGAGATCAGTAAGGTGAAACCCCGGACCGCCGCATACAGGCGGCAGTGGGGGAAAAAAAAAGGAAAAAATGGAGTAGCAGTACAACATGGGCAAGAGCTGGATGAGAGCTGCAGTGGATGCGGTAGGTTCGTCGGAGGTGAAGTCTGGTCGCAAACGGTGGCGGCCAATATAGATGACTTTGGGGCACCCGGACCATACCTGAGTATGCACATTGGGGGCGATGTCGCACGCCCTACCTCACCTCAAGCTGAATGAGTGGGAGCGATGAGACCCACAGGGGACCTGAGCCGGACATTGGGACTCACGTCGGGTCGAGCGTGTGAGGGGTTGGAGAAGCGTGAGTGTCTGGGTGTATATATGGTCAACAAAACAGCTGTACTCTGGCAAAAAAGAGGGAGGGAGGAGAAGAAGAGGTGAGGGTGGAGATGTAGAGAGGGAATGATGTGAAGGCAAGTGAGCCAGTATATGGGCAGTTATGTGTAAGCATCCCTTCTCCTCGCATTCCCCCCATCGCCGATTATCCTTCACGGATCAGCGGCTGCCTCCTTCGCACCGATAGTATCTGACCACCTTACACTCACAGTAGTACCGGCCATCCGATGGCAGGTGGCCTGTGGCCTGTCGGCATTACAGCAGAGTCAACCTAAGGTGCCTCTCGTGCCCGATTACAACAAATACCTATGTCCAACGGCCTCTGATACGGAGTTTCTGAGAGGGTGTACATCTTCTACACATGGGTCCTAGGGGTAGGAACATGCTCGGACGATTCTTGAGCGACAAACAGCTTCTCGCGAATGTCCGATACCCGTCCGCCTGCGAACGTGTTCCACCCTCGTAGCATGGAGTGACATGCTTCCTATCAGTTGGTGCTGCTCAGTCGACAGCTTCCGTCGAAGCTGGCAGGAGAGTGCATGCCAATGCCTCGTCGCCCTCCACGCACACCGCCACGTCGGAGGTCGCTTCATGACGTTCGCCACACTGATCAGCGGAATCAAATGTCCCGCTTCCGTTATCGTCCTCCCGTTATTGTGACTCGCGTCTCTTCTTGTCATCTCGCCTCCTGATCGTTCGTTGCTTCACTCACACCGACGCTGGGCAGGCCCGCCATGTCCGAATACGCCGCGCCGCTCCTCTGGTCCTTCCTCCCAGCTCAGCTCACCGCTGCCCTTCTCCCCACCCTCTCCGGCCTCGCGCCCCGCCTCTTGCCCCCAGCGCCCCCAGGCACGCCAGGCTACACGCGCAATTTCCGGCGCGTCATCACCGCCCTCGTCCTCGGCTGGCTAGCATATGCGTTCTTCACTGACCGCCCCGATGAGAAGGGTGGGGACTGGTACGACCTCCTCGGGGTGCCGGTGCGCGTCGGCGAAGATGGGCTCAAGAAGGCTTTCCGCGGCCTGTGAGTTGCGGCATCCGGCCATGCTGACTTGAGGTCGCGCAAGTTCCACCCCGACAAAATAGGGCCGAACCCGGGGCGCGATGTCGAGGCGCGCTTCGTTGCCATCCGCGCCGCGTACGAGGCCCTCGGCGACCCGGTGCGCCGCTTCGCGTACGACCGCTTCGGCCCCGACATTGAGAACTGGCAGGGCGCCAAGACGGTCCGCGACTACATGATGGCCGGGGTGCAGCGCGCCGCCGGCTTCTACGTCGTGACGGTCGGCCTGCTCCTCGCCCTCGGCCTGCTGGGTCGCGCGCGCGAGGGCGCGTACTGGCGCCTCGTGCTTGTCGGCATGCTCCTCGTTGCGGAGACGACTCTGGTGCTAGCGCCCACGCCAGCCGCCGACGCACCGCTCATGGCGCTCCCCGTCCTCTCGCGCCTGCCGTCGTGGCTCGCCAAGCCGCTCGCCACCATCCTGCCCCGCCGCCTCCTCGACCGCCCCGCGTACCAGTACATCGCCCTGCTGCGGCGGCTGACGGCCGACGCGGGCGTCGCCATCTCCCAGCTCGCCGACGTGTGGTCGGACCCGAAGCCTGACGAGCAAGCTGCGCTCAAGCTCGCCGTCCAGCTCAACCAGACCGCGCTCTCCGCGTTTGCGGAGGAAGTCGGCCCGGTGCTCGAGGCGACCGACGACCCCGCCGGCGCCGAGCAGAACCTCATCGAGCGCATCGAGCGCGTTGTCCTCGACCGCGGGCTGGCGGCCCACCCCCTCGTCGGCGGGCCGTACGCGACGGCTCTCGAGCGCGAGCTGAAAGGCCGCGGCGGCGCCGCGATCGCCGCCCTGCATCCCGACCTGACGGGCAACGCGTGCGACTGTGAAGAACATGGCGCGGAGCAAGAGGAGGGGGAGAACGCAGACGAAGAGAGCAGCGACGAGCGCCCAGACACGTTCGGCTCGAGCGTGAGTGACGCGCACGGCCACACCTCCGTCGACAGCCTCACGCCCGCCGACCTCGTCGCGCTCGGCAAGGCCATGCCCCTCCCGCCAAGTCCGCCGGCTACGCCCGCCCCCGAAAGCCTGGGCCAGGTCGCTGCCGCACACGTGAAGACGGAGGCGGGGGCGGAGGTGGAGACGCCGCGCCCGCTGCGCCGGAGTGCGCGCTTGTCGCGCTCGCCCGCCGTCGACCGCGAGTAGATGATGCATGTATATTGTATAGCTGTACCTCGACGTAGTGCGTCCTTGTCGCCAATTTCGCTCGAGACAGACTCACAAGCCCGGTGTGCGAGGTACAGCGTTCCGTACGTATTCAAGCTTCACATGTGTTAGCGTCGCAGGCACGCGGCGTGCGCACAACAGCCGGCGAGCGGCGGCCAGTGGCCAGTGGGGCTCTGCGTTGACCAATGTTGTGGCATACATGGTACGCCGGGCGGCACGGGCCAGAGGCGAAAATAGACATGTGTATCACGCGCAATTGACGCGCGCTATTACGGGCGCGGTGGCGCGGCGATCGCTGTCTTGCGCGCGTCGCATATCATGTCTTGCATCGCGTCATGATGTTCCGTTCCACCAGCCTGGATCCTCGTGCTCGCTGGAATTGCGGCGCATGAGACACGAGATGCCGGCGGAAGGCGCATGCTCGAGCCCGGTTTGAGAGACCTTTGTGGCGTTGCCCTGTGGCCGTGCATCATTGATTGAATGGCACAGACCGAGCTCGCCGATCGGCGCAATCGACATCAAGATCCTCCTGCCATCTTGATTCACTTTCGCCACTCAGTCACCAACCGTGTCTGCAAAGTGTCCATGCAGCTACCCCATACGGAAACTGAGATGAATACGTGATAATCTATGACAATAATGCGGTCTCTACGCCGGCCGGGCGCCAGTACGCCAACCGAGCGCCAATGCTTGTGAGGATCTAATTGTTCAGAGGCCCGAATCAGGCCTGCCCGAATCAGGCCTGCCCGAGAGAGCCTACTCGTTCGTCCCACCGACGCGATCGACAAGCAGTCGCTGCTCGCACAACTGCGCCACAGCCTTGCCGTCGAGCGGAATGTCGTTGCCTTGGAAGCCTTCAGGGTACGCGACAGGTGGTGTGTTGGGGTACGTGAACGATTCGTTGTTCCACCAGCCATAGTGACGCACTCCCAGAGCGCGCGAGGTAAACTCGTAGTCCTCGGCAAAGCCGTCTGGGTAGAAGAACTCCATCACAGTCGCACGGGAGTTGAGGTTGTTCATCCAGATCAAGTGGGTGAGACCGTTGCCGTGCACACCCATCATGATCGTCGTGCGGGCCGCGAGACGGATCTGCTCGTCGCGAGTGAGCTTGTCCATGGCGACAATGTTGACCTGGTTGTCAGACGTGATCGCCTGAGCCTAGGAGGCTTTACTCACCTCCCATCCGTACTTGTTCTCCAGGTTCTCGAGTTCCTTGACCAACACTTCATGGTCCTTTTTGCGCAGCATACGACGGCCCCAGTCCTGACGACTGACGTACGTGATGACTGGCGTCGACGGAGTCCAGGTCTTCTGAGCCTCGGCGCGCTGCTGCGCATGCTGCACACTGCCGCCACGCTTCCCGGGGAGGGCGCGCTTGTCGTTGTTGCGAATACCATGCTTGCCAACAATCGCCTTCTTGGCTGCCTTCCCGCGGCGGGCAATGGGCTCGTCCTTGATGTCGTCCTCGTCCAAGACGCTCACCTCCTTGCCGCCGTACTCCTCAGAGTCATAGTCCTCGATGCCAACACCGTAGTCGGCAAGGTTGATCTCCTCCTTGCCCTTGGTGCCCGAGCCGACAAACTCGAGCAGGTTGCGGCGGACAGGGGCCCACCAGTAACGGCTTCCACCCAGGGTCGCGGCCTCAGAGGCCGTGCGCCACGTTTTGGCGAATTCGGGCCCTCGGAATGCGGCGGCGCGGTCGGCGATGACCACGCGGTCAAACTTGAAGGGGCGCTCGGTGTCGATGCGGTCGTTCCAGTCATTGCGGTACTCGAACGAGATTGAGGGGAAGATGGCGCGCATGAGGAACGAGTTCATCTTGGCATAGTCATTCCAACGACCAGCGTTCACGAATGGGAAGATGATACGTGCGGGCGCTGGGAGTTGTGTGGCGCCCGCAGCGTTGATGGATGGGTCGAGCGACGAGTATGTGCGCCAAATGCCGAAGAGCAATTCTGCGGCAAAGTGGTAGTAGTGGTCGAGGAATTGAGGTGGGTCGTTGACGAGGAATGTCGTGTCGGCGACGCGGGACACCGAGTGGCCCCAAAGACGGTTGGCTTCAGAGGGGAAGATGATGCGCATCTCCTTTTCTGTTGGCTCTCTGGAGAGGCGTCAGCAACGCTGCGCCCTTTCCCCAGTCTCCTCCGGTCGTGCCTACTACTCACCGCCTGCTGATGGATGCTTGGTCGTTCCAGATCTCTGCACCGGTGGAGATCATCATGCGGCGCAATGGAATGCTCGAGGGGTTGTCCGTGACAACGTACCAGGTGCCGTTGAAGAGGTAAATGTCGTCTAGGACAGTCCAGCCTGGCGCGAGTTAGCAGGGGGCCACCAGAAGGGTGCTCGCGGAGTGTGAGCTCACCTGGGGCGTGTGCAAGGACAGATGTTCGTGGTGCTCCCTCCTCTCCCCACTTGACCTTGACGTCGGCAACGGTGACGGCTTGAGAGGAGAGGGGCGAGTTTTCATCGTAGCCGTGCCGAGGGGGCGCGTCCCAGACCGAGTGCCTCCTGCCTCCGATGCCGAGTTTGAAGCCCAGGAGGCTGTCACTCCCTCGAGAGTCGGTGAAGCGGAAACTCAAGTCGAGCTGGAGAAAGAGGCCAAAAAGAACAATGACGCTCAATGCCACGAGAACGTGGCTACGGGTTACGTGCCACCCCATGTTGGCAAAGTAGACCGCTGTGCGACGGAAGGGTCGTGGCGAGCGGGGGAGGGGAGTCTTTAGTGAGACGGAAATGGTGGCGGTGCAGAGAGATGCGTGTGGGCGCTGTTAGGTAGAGATTGGAGGAGGATAAGAGGGAGGGAGGTTGTGATGGGGGGAAGCGAGGATGAGAGAGAGAGAGAGAGGGAGATCAAGGATGTGGAGGAGGGGGGTCCGAAGTGTAGGGTGGTTGGGAGTTGGAGTCGCGAGTGCAAGCCGCTGGAGGGGCGGAGGGAGCTCTCGAGGCGCTCGAGGATCGTGGAGGCGAGGAGGGATGGGGGGGATGGCGTTACTTGCGGCTGCTCGGTTGGCGTCTGGCGGCGTCGTGAGGATGGCGTGGGTGTGAATTTCAATGTCCGTGCGTGAGGACAAGTTGCTACGCGTGCTGCTCGTGTGCGCGAGAGAAAGTGTTGCGCGGGGTTGTGAGTTGGTGGAGCGTGATCGCGTAAAGAGGAACCGAGTGACACTGAAATGTGTTGTTGACGATTGACGAGATCTCGGATGGGATCAAGTGGGCGGCGCGTGATGGCTTTGTGGATCGCGTCTTGACACGGGGGGTGTTGACAGTTGAGGTGTTAAGAGGGGGGGGGGCGTGACGAAGGAGAAGAGTGGAAGATGGAGAAGAACTAGAAGAGGTGAAGAGATGAGAGAGTGAGGGAGAGAGAGATAGAGAGAGAGAGAGTGAGTGAAAGAGATGGAACGCGACGAGCAGGAAAGAGAGATGATTGATGATGATGATGATGATGATAAAGAGAGAGCGAGAACGAGCAGAGTGGAGTGGAGGGAGGGAGGGATACCCTTTGCCTCTCCCTTGCCCCCTTGTCTCGGCTGGTAGCCAGGTGCAACCGTGCACTCAGGGTACAAGGGTACACAACCCAGGGTCAAAGCCCAACAACAGTGCATATTCGCACACTTGTGCCCACATCCCTCCCATCACTCAGGTACTCAGGGTTTGAAACGTCCCTGGCGCCATGTACCCCGAGTTGGCCCAGAGATTATTTTACTCCCGATACTGTCCCCATGTCCCCGTCGCCGCCCTCCTTCCCGTCCCTTTTGCGTTCCTAATCCCTAATACAGAAACTCTTATTCTATTCAGCCTCTCCTCCCCGTATCCCCGTATTACCCACCAGGCGCCCGCCATTACGCCACTTTTTACTTCGCCAGCTGTTAATCGCTACAGTACTCGCTCTCCATCAACGTTGCACAGCGGCCTCGCAGACGCAGACCACCGCCATGGCGTTCTGTCGATCAGCTAGACAAACTTCAGCCGACGGGAACTGCCGCCGCACGTTCCCGTAACCCAGTAACCGCAAGACATGCAATTCGGGCCAGAGTAAAGAGTACGTGTGTCTAGCTGACGCGCTTGTTTTGCCCGTCTCGTAGTTGTCTCTTAACTGGGCGGGATGCAAACGCGGCCAGTGGCCTGTGGACTGACGAGCGGCATGAACGGGCCAACTGTGAGCTTTCCGTCGGGCAGAAGAGGGAGGAGCAAGAGCCGCATGACTCTGGCTGGCATGCATCAGCCTGCAGCCTGCAGCCTGCAGCCTGGCTTGACCAAGGCGTACGAGGGGCCTGGGCCAAGGCTGACCCTCCGAGATTGGCCGGCCCTCCATTCAGCCTGGCATCACTGTCATGGATCACAGACTAATCCGGATAACCGTTCATGTCATGTGAGTACTGTAGTGAGCATGCATCGGGTTCCTCAATCCTCCGGCCAAGTCTCCAGGCATCCAGGTCCAGGCCTTGTGCATGCCTCCTGATGGCTGATGCTAATAAAGCAACATGACAACGCGAGTACGGCAGAACGGGGCACCAAGAGGTTGGGCACGCTGTTCGCTGTTGCTCGAACTCGTTCTGAAGCATGAAGCAGACGCGATGTCTCGGCGTCGATCCGCCAATCCGTCGATCCGTTGATTTAGCGATCCAGCGATCCAGCGTCGCCGACGCGTTTCAGCGCATCACGATCAGCGCCAGTCTCATTTCAGCATCATCTCTGATCTCTGATCGACGCGTGTCGCCCATCTCCATCGCCGCCATCTCGACCGCCTCGCGCCTCAATCGTCACACATACAATCCGGGCGACGACCACCTCCCCCGCCCCCGCCTGACACTCCCGCTCGCCACCGCTGATAACGGCAGCGGGCTGCACCACTCTGAAACCATTCATGTCTCTCGTGCCACTGTGCCTGGCATCCCGCACTCCCGCTTCCGTATGGAGGCTGTGGGCATACAGTACAGGCGTACACAGGCGGCTCGCTGTAGCATGCATCATGTATCATACGCTCGGGGCTGGCGTCAGCTGGCATACTGAGCAGAAGATGGCTTTTCAAGGTGGGCGGGAGCGTGTCGGGTCGTGCCGTGGTATGTGAGTAGGCTGAGTGAATTGCCTTGGTCTGGATTAGGAGGCGGTAGTGATAGCCTCAGAGAAGTAGAGGAGCAAGTAGAGTATTGCACGGATATCTTAATCGCATGTCCGAAGGCGACAATCGCCTGACGCTTGATACGTGTGAGACGCCGGGGGGCGACTTTATGAACACTGCCTAAGGAACAAGTCAGCCCTCGGGATTGCGAAATGTGGCTCCGTGCCAGCGAGCGGACGCGTTATGAACAACAGCATATGCGCAGCTGTCCCCGGCATCTCTGTGCCAGCAGCACCGGCACTTTCCACCGGCGACAGGCAAGGAACGCGCGCGAATCGTAAATTCGAGCAAAGGCGTCACGCGCCTCGCTCGACTCACCGCGCCGATCCCACCTCCCAGGCGCACTGCGCTGCGCGCACTACACCGCGCCTGATCCCCCGCGAGACCCATACTATACATGCCGCCGTGGCGTATTGATACAAAGCCGGTCTAGCGCCTCTAGTCGTCCGTCTTTCCGGGGGGCACGCCGCAGGGCTGCAGCATGCGCTGGTCTCAGCAATGCGCCAGCCATACACTCACCTCAATCACCTCGTACCGCTCGCGCGCTTGGCACTCGCCGTCCGCAATGGAGAGGTAGGCCAGAAGCGGCGGGTGGCCGACAATGGACGACAGCGTGTCGCGGTGCTGGTGGGTAAGCCACTCGCTGTTGTTAGCTGTGAATCGCTACATATACTGCACGCACTACTTGGTCATGTCCGCATGTCCTGTTCCAACGTAGCGCGAGTGCACTGTCATTAGAACTGGGTTGATCATACCAAAGGCGAGGGAGGGCGCACGACGACGGCGGCGGTGAGGGAAGGTGGAAGAAAACGCCTGTGCCGCTTGACGCGCGGTCTCATGCCAACTCACGCTGCTCGAGCGACGTGTTGGCGGTGTAGCGCAGCTCAGACTACGGGTCAGCCGAAACAGCTCTGAGAGAAGCTTGCGATTGACTCACCATGACGGCTGATGGATGGGCTCAAGTTGGAGGTCGGTGAATTGGTGAGGACGATCGAGAGCAATCGCGTGACGGTGGACTGGAGTTGGGTGGCGACTGAATGAGTGGAGGGTGCCACGGGGAATAAAACTCCGAAACACCGTCACAGTCACCTGGCCTGGCCTCCCCCCCCCGCCTACGGCCGCCTTGGATGCCTGTCCACCGTAGCCGCAGCAGCAGCAACATCTCGAGACCTCGAGACCTCTTACGACGACGCCGCCTTGCACTTGCACCAACACCAACCTCGTTCACATCCACAACAACAATCCGCGACATCCCTCCCCGACACTCGCCTCCCTCTTCTCAGTGAGCCTCTCCCACACGCCCACCGCCTCCGCTCGACATCGCCCGCCCCAAATCGCTGCATCAAAAGACGCCGAGTGCTGACATTCACCCACCCTTGCCCTTCCACTCTGCCGCTCCCCTTCCTTTCACCCTTCGTCATTTCCAACACATCCTCCCTTCAATCCCACCCCCCTCTCCAGCAAGAGACATCATGAATCGAGCAGGAGGTTGGTTGCACCTACACACCCACACATGCGCGCCCCATTGCGCATGCTAACGCGCAGCAGGACAGCCACGGCAATCCACCGTTCCCCCAGGCTACCGAGCCGCTCAGCCTACAGCCGCAGGCGCCAACGGCATGTTCTACGGCGGCCCTACAATGCAGAACCGCGGGACTGGCCTCATGGGGCAAGGCGCGCTCGGCGGCTTCCCTCCATCCGGCGCACTTGGTCGCAGCGGACCACCAGGCATTGGTGGACGAGGAGCGGGTGCGTGGCTTTTGTGAAGAGGGGGGCGGTGGGGGCGAGCGTTGTGAGCATTGCGAGCGTTGCGAGCGTTGCGAGCGTGAACAGCTTTGGAAGATCTTTCCCATTGTGGGATGATACAAGCTGCCTCGTGATATTATTCCCTCCACCCGCCGCCGCCGCCGCCGCCTTCCTCTCTGTCAGGCCGGTATAAGTCTGATAGCAGATCCAAATGACTTTCCCGCACTCGGAAGCCATAACCAGCACGGCAACAACTCGACATATGCCTCTCAAGCTCAGCCCAGCCAGGCCGGATCCAGTCATCTGCAGCAGCAGATGTACAACCTCCATATCGGACAAGGGCAGGGGCAAATGGACTCGATGGCGCCTCCACCGCCGCCGGGTCTGTCAGGACCTGCGGGCTCATCAAGCCAGCCGAACGGTGCCGGGGAAGGGTTGCGAGACGACTTCCCCGCATTGGGAGTAGGCGAGAAGGAGAGAGTGGGTGTTGTGATCAAGCGCACACAACTGATGCCAGATGGCCGGCGTGCTCAAGATTGGAGGAGGAGCAAACCAGCCAACTTCCCCACAGCAGTCGCTCAACGGCCCTGGCTCGTCCCATTCCGCAACCCCCGCCAACATGGGCCAGGGACCACCATCTGCCGCAGGAGAGTCATGGGCAAGGCAGTCGCCATCGCGCAACGAGCCTCTACTGCGGCAGCAGCAGGTCCAACATCCTGTACACCAGATCCTGACATCGCCCGTCGACAAGTGGGGTTTGAAGGCACTTTTGCATCAGATCCGTCAACATATGAACAAGGACGACCGCGGCATGCTCATGTTTGGGGAGGACCTCGTTGACCTCGGAGTTGATGTGGCGAGCCAAGAGTGCGTCTATCCGCAAATTGTTTCCTCGAGTCGGCCCGCACTGACGTTCCAGACCTCTGTACCAGTCGTTCGTGACACCATGGGCAGACCCGGGAAGTCAAACCCAGCCGCCGCAAATCGAGGACATGTACGTCATCCCGAGCTGTTACCACGTCGTGCCGCCACCAGTGGAAAGCAAAATGTCCAACTTCAACGAGGAGACACTCTTCTTCCAGTTCTACTCTGCGCCACAGGACATGCTACAGCTCATGGCTGCTGAGGAGCTCTACACCCGCGGATGGCGCTTCAACACAGACACGCGCGTCTGGATGCTTTCGCCTCAGCTTTCGCAGATCGACTTCCACAACGATCTCTCCCAGCACCCGCCTATCCTGCGCGGTCACTTCACCGTCTTCGACCCCGCGTCGTTCAGCAAGCGCGAGACGCACACGATAACTGGCGGCGAGGAGTACTCGGTCGAGCTCGCACACTTTGAGGCGACGCGCCGTGCGTCCGACATTGCCGCCGAGCAGGCCAAGGCGCGCAAGGAGTCGGTACGGTCACCCGAGGGAAACAGCTCTAGCATTCTGGGCTCGAACACGCAGCACTTCCAGAGCATGGCTGTGGCACACTAGGCCGCCGTATCCCGCACCTCCCTGCCTCGTGGCGTCCGTCTGTAGTTTGAGACAGCAGTGGCATCGGACGAATGCGATGCTGTTATGTGAACCAGCGTACTGTGTTTAGCATGTGCGTCTAGTCGTGTGAAGGCGTGTACTTGGTAGAAGCGGCCGAGTGGAATGGTTAATTCAGGAGCACGTGGGTGCATTAGCATTTACCGCCTTTGCCGCGCTTTGCCACTTTCCGCCCCTCCACCGCCACTTATAGCCCGGGTGGCATGTGCGTACGTCACGCGTACCCATTCCAGATTCCAGGATCACCGCGTTCATCTCTCGCACCCACTTGAGTGCGCAATCCACACTGGCCGGCCTTGGTCCACTCGTCTCACTTCTTATCACAATCACACCCCCCATAATGGACCACTACGACGACGACTACACCACGACACGGTCGACCCCCGTCGGCGCCGACGCCGAGCGCGACGATGACACTCCGCCCGAGCGCAACTCCCCCTCCTTCAGCTTCCACGAAGAACGCCGCCTCCTCAAAAGCGACGAGTACTGGCTCGCGCACAAGATCCCGCGCCTCCCCCCTCCGGCCCTCGGCACATCCCCCAGCGCATCAGTTGCGGCCCTCGACGGCCTCTCCCTCTCGCGCTACGACGAGCGCGACGACGAGCGACCGTGGAGCACCTCTCCAGCGGACGAGATGGATCCCTCGGGCGTCAAGCACCGCGATCGGATGGACGAAGATGAGCAGCTAGCTCTCGAGGAGGAGCATCGCGAGAAGATGGGCGGGGCGGCCGCAGGCGGCCTGCCGCCTGATCAGTTTGATACGGGTGAGTCACCACACTTCGTGAGGGTCCGCGCCGGCCGCGCCGGCAGCGCGTGATGCTGCGCCACACCAGATCAAGCTTCTGTGGTTGTTCTTCTTAAGAGAGTGAGGGGGTGTCGCCGCCGATCACACTCCAATCTCACCCTTTTGTTCATCCACATCGACAACTATACACCTCAGCCTCAGCGCGGACATGGTGCTGACAGAGGAACAAGTCCGCGCATTCGCCGAGTCTGGCGTAGGGAGTGAACTCGAGGCGCTGTAGTGAGTCCATCACAGTGGCGAAGGCGAGGGTGGCGACTAGCGGGCGACACCCGGCGTGTCACGACGCCTGATGGCTGACTCCAGCGCCGCGTTCTCCAAATGTCTCGCCCTGCGTGACAAGTACATGACGCTGTCGAGCCAGATGCTGGGCGACAACCCGCGCGACCGCGACGGCACGTTTGGCGGATTCCGCACCGGCACAGGCGACGTGTACGGCCTCAAGCCCGACCAGAAGCCGGCCACGTGCGAGCTGAGCGCCGACCCCAACGCTCCACAATGGCAGATGAACCCGCCCCCGCCGGCGCCACATTGGAAGTGGGAGGGCGCGCGGCCCGAGCACCAGGACGGCGAGTCGCACAAGCCCGACTCGACCACCACTCCGCAGTTTGACCTCGCGAGCGTCGAGGTCCCCGGGCCAGAGGACGCTTCCAGCGCCCACACTTTCCGGCTCAACGACGAGGGCGTGTATACTGTGTACACGACCAACGGGTACGACAAGGGCGGCGAGATCCCACTCAGCCACGTGCCCCGCCTCAAAGAGTATTACATGGACCTCGAGTATCTGCTCAACGTGTGCTCGGACGGGCCTGCCAAGTCGTTTGCTTTCCGCCGCCTCAAGTACCTCGCATCCAAGTGGAGCCTGTACGGCCTACTTAACGAGTACCAGGAGCTTGCGGACATGAAGGCCGTGCCGCATCGCGACTTCTACAACGTCCGTAAGGTCGACACGCATATCCACCACTCGGCGAGCATGAATCAGAAGCACTTGCTGCGGTTCATCAAGCGCAAGCTCCGCCGGTGCCCCGACGAGATTGTCATCCACCGCGACGGCAAAGACCTGACGCTGAGCGAGGTGTTCGAGTCGCTCAACCTGACGGCATACGACCTTAGCATCGACACGCTCGACATGCACGCGCATCAAGAGTTCCACCGCTTTGACCGCTTCAACAACCGCTACAACCCCACGGGGTCGTCGCGCCTCAGGGAGATCTTCCTCAAGACCGACAACCTCCTCAAGGGCACATACCTTGCCGAGCTCACGACCGAGCTCATCGCCGACCTCGAGCAGTCCAAGTACCAGAACTCGGAGTGGCGCGTGTCCATCTACGGCCGTAAGCCCGACGAGTGGGACAAGCTCGCCAAGTGGGTCGTCGACAACAAGCTTGTGTCGCACAACGTGCGGTGGCTCATCCAAGTGCCCCGCCTCTACGAGGTGTTCAAGGCGGGCGGGCTGGTCAACAACTTTGAGGACGTCGTCAAGAACGTCTTCAAGCCACTATTTGAGGTCACGCAGGACCCAAAGACGCACCCGGAGCTGCACATTTTCCTGCAGCGCGTAGTCGGCTTCGACTCGGTCGACGACGAGAGCAAGCCCGAGCGCAGGCTGTACAAAAAGTTCCCGACGGCGCAGGCCTGGGACACGAACCAGTCGCCCCCGTACTCGTACTGGATCTACTACATGTACGCGAACATGGCGAGCCTGAACGCATGGCGCCGTGAGCGCGGATTCAGTGAGTTCTGCGCTGTGCGGAGCTGACAGCAGACACATTCGTGCTCCGCCCGCACTGCGGCGAAGCGGGCGACCCAGACCACCTCTCCTCGGCCTTCCTTACCTCGCACTCGATTTCGCACGGCATCCTCCTCCGCAAAGTCCCTGCCCTCCAATACCTCTTCTACCTGAAGCAGGTGGGCCTCGCCATGTCGCCGCTGTCGAACAACGCCCTGTTCTTGACATACGAGCGCAACCCCTTCAAAGACTTCTTCAAGATCGGGATGAACGTCTCGCTGTCCACCGACGACCCGCTCCAGTTCCACTTCACCGCGCAGCACCTGCTGGAAGAGTACTCGTGCGCGGCACAGATCTACAAGCTCACGCCCGCGGACATGTGCGAGCTCGCGCGCAATAGCGTCGTGCAGTCCGGCTGGGAGATGCAAGTCAAGAAGCACTGGATCGGGCATAAGTGGTATCTCCCCGGCGCGGCCGGCAACGACATCCACAAGACGAACGTGCCCAACATCCGCCTCGCGTACCGCCACGCCACGCTGCTCGAGGAGCTCAACCTCATCCAGCACGGGACGCATACGCCGAGCGCGACGCCGGGGCCCATGCGGCCGAGCGTGAGCGAGCAAGGCGCCGGAGGACAGGGTATGAAGGCCGAGGGGGCCGCCGAAGCGCGGCGGCCCGTCACGCACGGCTCGACGGATCCCGGCAACCTCGGCGCCGCGGCGATGGCGCAGACGCGCAACCTTCTCGATCGCCCGTTCGCGGTCGCGCCGGGCGCGGCGGCGCTCGACGTGCGCCATAGAAAGCGCTCGATGAGCATTGCGAACCGGCCGACGCTGGGCATGAGCGCCGCCGACGAAAGCACGTCGCCGTTCACGTCGCCGTTCCACAGCCCGGTGCGCGAGAAGAGCGAGATTCCCGAGGCGCCAGGTAGCCCCACCCGGCGCTGAGTGTACGAGTTAGAGTAACACTGTATATGTATCCTTGCTTGCGCTCGTCAAATCAACAATACATAGCACGCAACAGGCATACAAAAAGACAACTCTAGTGGTGGTGGAACAAGCCGTCGGCTTCGAGGCGGCGCACAGCGTCTTCACCGAGCACGTCGCGCACGCCCGCCCACAGCTCGCGGACGGAGCGGACGGCGCGGCGCTCCGGCGCCTCCGGCGCCGGCCGGTCGTGCACGCTCATGAGCGAGTACAAGGCGGCGACTTGGTCGGCCTGGCGTCAGCGCTGCATGCCGCACACATACCTTCTGCTCGAGACAGTCGATCACCTCCTTGAGGTGGGCGGCGAGCACGTGCCGCTTCGCGACGGCGCTCGCCGCGTCCAGCACCTTGTACTGGTCGGCGAGCTCGACGTAGATCGTTTTGTAGTGCGCAAAGTCGGCTTCGAGTTCGCCGATGACGCGCGACAGCACCGTTGCGGGCGGCACGTCGGCGCCGTCAAGTATCGCGCGCACGCCGCCGAGCGCGGGCTGCGTCGGTTGCACCGGGAGCGAGCGGGCGCTGCCGCCCGACGCGACTCGGTTCGTGCTGCCGCCAGATGCGACGCGGTGAGTGCCACTGCCGCTAGAGGTCACTCTGTGCGTGCCACCCGTCGTCACCCGGTGGCCACTGCCACCGGACGCGACTCTACTGCCGCCAGACGGCATCCGCGCCACATTGGGCGCCGGAGCCTCCACAAGCGCCTGATAGCGGCGCGACTTGCGCATCTCCTCGCGCGGCGACGGCGGGCGGCGCTGCGAGAAGAACGACATCTCGTCCTCGGCGCGGATGGACGGGAACGGGGACGCCGGGCCCTCCATCCGCCGGCTCGACGAGCCCGAGTGGTTGGGCGTCGCGTCCGTCCTGTCCTGTCGCCGCTCCCTGCGCTGTTCGCGCTCGGCGCGCAGCGCGGCGGGCGAGGGGCCGTCGTGGCGCTCCGCGACGTAGATCATCGTCGCGGGCTCGTCGTCGACGGGAGGAGCGGCCGGCTCACGGGCCGGACGGAAGGCGTCGACCGCGGCTTGGCTCGCGCGCGACGGCACGCGGTCGGGAGCGCGGATGTCCGTGGCTTGGCTTGCGCGCGAGCCCGGTCGGCGGACGGGGGTGGGCGAGCGCTGGGCGTCGGCGTCGCGCTCGTCCTCGCTTTCGTTGGCTACGCGCGCAGCCTTAGCCGAGGGCGGGAGTATCGTGACGTTTGGTGCGCCGGCGGCGTGGACTCCCTGGCGGAACTGCGAGGGGAGGTCGGTCTGCGTGGCGCGCTCGGTGCCGCGCTCGCGGGCGCCCGCGTCGGCGTTGGGGCTGGCGCTGACTCGCGCCGTGTCCTCGGCGAGGTCGAGCGCCTCGACGCGCATGCTGCGCTGCGAGCGCGCGCTGGTGCGTGCGAGGAGGCCTTGTTCAGCGACCTCGTTGAGGCGGGCGATCTCGCGCGTAAGCCGCTCGATGTCACTCTTGATGGCGGCGAGGTCGTCGCGCACGTCCGTGTCACGCATGCGGCGGAGCTCGGCAATTGCGGCCTTCTGCGCCTCGAGCTCGGCACTAAGGCGCGCAATGTGGGCACGGAGAGTTGCCACTAGCTCCTCCAGCGCGGCTTTCTCACTCAGCACCTCGGCGAGGCGAGCATCGCCGCCCGCCTGCATCTCCGCTACCTCCTCACGGGCGCTGGCGCATTCGGCCTCGAGCTCGGCGACAGCTTCGCGGGCGCGGGCCCACTGAGCCTCAAGCTCGGCAATGCGCTGAGTCGCGACGCCCTTCTCATTCTGCAGTGCGCGGATGTGCGCCTGAAGGCTTGCAAGCGCGCTGGGTACGCCAGCACCGGCCGTGAGCGGCGCGGCATTCTTATCGATTTCGCCGAAGCCGGGGCCCTTTGCGGGCGTTGCAAGCAGCCCCGTCACTCCCGTCATTCCCGTCAAGTCAAAAGTCCTGTCGCGGCGGCCGGGTGACGGCTGCACCACCGGCACAAGGTATGGCGCTTTGTACTGCCCTTTCTTGTACGGGCGCTCAGGCTGATACTGGGACTGGTTGTGAAGCCCCGTGTCCGCGAGTGGGCGGCGTGAGTCGGGACGGTATGTTTGAGCCTCGCTCAGGGGATGGTTTGAACCCGTGCCATCGCCGCTCGACTTGGATGAGGCGGCGGAAACAGTCCGGCTCTGCGGCGGCGACGGGAGCGGGTCGTTCCGACCAAGCGAAAAGGACAGATTGGGAAGCTGGTGCAGGGAGGGGCTGGGAGAGCGCGGCGATGCGGCGCGGAACGGCGACGCAGGCTTATTGATGATACGCTGGGAGTCAGATGGTCCTGCATGGCGGCGTACCTCCTCCTCCATGGCTCGGGTGAGCTGGCCGACGAGGCGGCCGAGCGAGCGGTCAGGGTCAAACTCTCCGGCCTGGTGCTCGCGGCGAGTCGGGTTGTTGAAGACGCTTGCACCAAGAGTAGCCGCGCTAACATGGTGCCCGTCAGTCGAAGTAGGGGAGGCGCCAATGCCCGCGCTCGCGAGAGACGCAGCGAAGGACGGGTGGCGGCCTGGACGGCGGGGAGTCTCGTCAAACGTCAAAGAGGGACGATAATCGTGCACTGCGGCGGAACGAGGAACGCCTACTGTCGATACAGAAGAGTGCGAGGCAAAGGATGTCGACGGGTTTGATGCACTGAGCGACAGCGTAGAGAGGTCGTGGTCGAGAGTACTCTCGAGCCGCTGACGCTCCAGGTCGGTTCTGCTGAAGGGGATGGGCGGAGCGCCGTTCATGATGGCGAAGCCCTCAGGCTACGGTGCAAGATGGGATTAAGGAGATGGATGATGGGGGAGGTGAAAAGCACTCGGGCTCGATGGAGGGCGAGGAGTGTTGTGCTTGAGGGTTGAGAGAGTGAGAGAGCTGGAGGATCTCGCGACTGTCTTTGTTTGGTGTGACCTCACTTCCCATGTTGCCACGTGACAACGGACCCAAAAACATAATTCATACCCCCCCCGGGATAAACAGGATAACATATCTAGCTATTCCAGTTACAACCGGCCTGAATCAAACTACAGAGGTCCAAGGGGTCCATTGCTGTCACTTGACTTGCGCCCAATGCTCAGATCAGACATGGCCTTCGTCGGTGTCTCTTCCTTGAACGGGGACTCGATGCCGCTGGAGGGCGACTTGGTCGGGGATGAGCTGCCCGATTTGACTGGCGACTTGGGTCGCTCCGGCTTCTGCTGAGGGGACTTTGACTCGTCAAGAGTATGCTCAGACTCTTGCAGAGGCGACTTTGACTCCTTGAAGGGCGAATCAATCGGCATGCTGCCCATGCCGTATCTCGTCGAACCAGCCATGTTGAGACCACTACCAACGGGCGGGCTGGACATGGGGGGGCTTGCAAGCGGCTGTGTCGAAAGCGACTCAGAAGAGCGATCCGGCACGGGAGGCAGGTCGCGATCCATGGACGTGGCAAGGTTGGGGGCGGTCTGCGTACCCGAGGGGCCAGCCTCAGCCGGCCGCTCGGCAGGAGGTACAACGTTTGGATGATCTGGGATGTCCCTGATCGCTTCCTGCGCTGTCTTCCAAGCCTCCAGGTTCTGTCGGCACCACTCGCGGTGAATCGTCGAGAGCTGGATCGCGAGTGTCTTGAGATCGGCCACCTTCTGTCTCTGGAAGCGGTCTAGGTCGGCCTGGAGAGTCGTCGACGCGTATTTCAGATCCTGCGCGGACGCCTGCAACGAATCTTCGAGCTGGTGTTAGCTTACCCCAACTGACCGACTTCTCCCTACTCACCTGCGAGATATTGTCGCGGGTCTTGCCTATGTTTGCACGACGTGTCGCCTCCGGATCCACGTCCATCATGCCGCTGAGTGAGTGCTTGACAGCCGAGAGCAGGCCGAAACTGTTACCCTGCCGGCGTGCTGTGGGACGTGGGCTAGGCGGCTGGAGGTTTGACCCACTCGGCGTCGAGCTTGTGCCCGCACTACCCTCGTTGTTGTCAGGGGCAGACTTGTTTGGGGTAGCAGGTGCACTAGAGTGGAAGCTGCCACCGCGCTCAAGGGCCTCCTCAAGACGGCGAGATTCCCGCTCCGATGCCTCAAGCAGCTCCAGCTTGTCGCGCTGCGTATCCAGCGCCTCCTGCACAAGCTCGTACTGGACGTGCTTTTGATGCCGGAACGACAGGCGGGAGCGGATGAGCTGAGCGAACTGAGTGTACGTGTGCAATGGCTCTGTCACGTGCGTTTCCCACTCCTTCATGAGCTCGGTCGTGGCGAGGTAATCGGTGTCGACAGCCTGGCCAACTTTCTCGATAGCAGTTGCCAGTTCCCCCTTTTCGCTCAGAGAAAAGCCATTCCACTGGGCGCCGAGCTCGCTCATATCTGTTGCGTGCTCACTCCAGCGCTTGGCCACGCGGCGGTTGACCTTTTCCATGTTGCCTTGAAAGTGCTGGTGGAACTTGTCGGTAAACTGCTCGCTTTCGAAGAACCGCTGGTCCGGCCGATGCAAGGGGTGCGTGGGCGACGGGTTGGGAAGTAGATGGTGCGCGATATACGCAGTCGACGACGTACTCTCTCCGTCCTCATCCTGGTCCTGGAATGTAGGGTTGTGCGAGGGCGCATGCAGCGGGTTCTTCGGAAGGAGACTGACCGGCGGTGAGTGAAGCACCTCATTCTGCAGTTAGCTAGCTGTCATGTTCGGGAGCTCTCACCCATGAAACGCCATCTTCAAGGAAGCGGTGGAAGACGTGGTCGCCCCCGAGTATAGGGTGCCGGACGACGCGGCGCAGGAAGTCCTCGAGAAGGCGCTTGCGGCGCGCAATCGTCGTTGCATCCTCTTTAGTCTTGGACTGACCCTTGACGGCGTAGTCGGTGAGGCTCTGCTTGGAGGGGATGGGAGGGATAATGAGCACGGGGTACAGGCCCTGGAGCGCTTGGTGCAGGCTAAGGAAGGCAGAGTATCGCCTGCGGGTGGTATATGTCTGCTGTTAGCACAGTCGCACGGCAATGACTCACGCCCAGGCGGATCACATAGGTGATGTAGCTCGACTTCCCGCCCTCAGTAGTCTTGTACGCATCAACGATGCTGATGTCGTCACCGCGAGCAATCTGGCGATCGCGCTCGCAGCAGAAGTCAGTCTTAGGCTGAGGCCCGGCAAGACGCGACGTTCCCCGTGGCGGCTTGGCCGGATCGGGAAACGACGCGCGCTGGGTCGGCGGCGGCGAGCTGCTGGTAAGGAGAGAAGAGCTGCGTCTGTGGGCGGTCGACGAGGTGTTGGAAGGAGTGCGAGACAGTGGGGGGGATGTCGCGGGGCTGGCGTCGGGCTCAGTGACAAAGGGGTTTGAGACTGGGTCCTCCATGATGGAGGGAGTGAGCGACGGCAACGGTGGGAGATGCTGTGAAGGCGAGGATGGATGGCGATGAGCGCAGTCGCGGCGGGGCGGCGAGGGCGGAGGCAGTCAGCGGCCAGCGTCATGCCACCTCACTCTGTATACCACCATAGCTCCCAGGCACCACTCTACCTCCTGGCGTATCAAAGACACGTCACTCGTCCGGTGACGCCGCGCGTACGCTTGCTTGTCTCTCGCGCATCATCGACTTCCTCCAGCCTCAACAACACCCTCGGCATCTCCATCCCCCTTCATCCTCTGACAACCATGGCAGCGACGGCAAGCCAGATTGGCTTCGACTTTAGCAATTACGCGCGTAACGAGTTCCTTGGCGCGCGTACGGCTCTTCCCAAGGGTAAGTCCATCACCTACACCTCGGTGGGACCTCTTGTGAGCTGACAACAGCGACATCGACGGGTACTACCATTGTCGGCCTCAAGTATGGAGGTGGAGACTCTGGTGAGGAGGAGGGCATCTGCCTCGGTGCCGACACGCGTGCGACTGCTGGACCGATCGTGGCGGACAAGAACTGCGAGAAGGTGTGTTCATCTGATGCCGTCTGGCAGTCGACAGCTGGCCTATTGAACCTCTCTCACACCAGATTCACTACCTCACCCCCTCCATTCGCTGCTGCGGAGCAGGAACCGCCGCCGACACTGAGTATGCTTCCGGTGCGAGCGCAGCTAACCAGCAGATATGTTACGAACCTGATGTCCTCGAACCTGGAGGTTGGTCTCTGATGGAGGGCCCGTTGAGCTTCGACTAACGCCAGCTTCATGCCCTCTCGTCCGGGCGACCAGCGCGTGTGGTGACAGCCATGACGATGCTGAAGCAGTACCTGTACCGGTTGGTTCGCTCACACCGCCCAAGCTGACAGCAGCTACCAGGGACACATTGGCGCATACCTTGTTGTCGGTGGGGTCGACGCGACTGGCCCACACCTCTTCACAGTGCACGCGCACGGCAGCACTGACAAGCTGCCATACGTGACCATGGGCTCTGGTTCGCTGAATGCTATGGCCGTCTTCGAAGCCAGCTACAAGGAGCACATGACGCGCCAGGAGGCGATCGACCTTGTCGCCCGCGCCATTCGCTCGGGTGTGTTCAACGACCTGGGCTCGGGTTCGAACGTGGACGTGTGCGTCATCAACTCGAAGGGCACGGAGATGCTGCGCAACTATGAGATGCCCGTGAGGACTGTCCCACCGAGGAGAGCTGACAGAAGAACGAGCGTGGGATCAAGTCGCGCAACTACAAGTTCAAGCGCGGAACAACGGCATGGCTCAAGGAGAATGTCCGCGACCTCATTGTCAGCGAGGAGGTGGCGACTGTCGGCGCAGGCAAGGCGCAGCCCGGGTTTACCGACAAGGGGGTCGCTACCGGCGGGGTGGGCGGTGCCGAGGGCATGGACTTGGATGTGTAGCGCAGTCAATACAGATAGATGCATGTGTATGAGAGAGAGGTCGGAGAGCGTTGGCGGGCATCTTCTTTATAGAAGTTGCTGCTGGGCAAACGCGTACGTTCAGTGTCGTCGCATTTGGGCGGTCTGACGACACCCACCGTGCTCAACCTCGTTGTACAGCTGCAATTATATGATACAACATGTCTATTGCTACGAGACCTCTTAGAAGTCATACACGTCGCCTCCCTGTGCCGCGCCGCCCGCGGGCGCGCCCGCTCCAAAGCCGTCGCCATAGGGGTCGTAGCCGCCCGTAGCCTGCGGTGCGGCCTCTGGGCCCATCCCCATCTCGATGTTGCGCGCCTGATCCTGGAATTGCTTCTTGACATTGAGGGTCTGCGTGATGAGCAGCTGGCATGCGCGCTTCAGTGCGTCCGCAGGATTCGAGCGCTCGTCTGTCTGGATCTTGATGGTGATCACGTTCTCCAGCGGATGCGGCACCTTGTATCCGGCGAAGAGGACAGTTGGATCGAGCAACAGTTGTCTATGGTCAACCCCATCTGCGAAGTGCCAAGGCCGGTAGCACTCACGCTCGCAACATGTTCCCCAGTGTGTGGTCTTGCGCGCGCACGACAACCGTCGCGGCATTGGGAATCTTGGGGTCTTCCGTGATCGTGAGGCTGAAGTCAGCTCGGCGCCGTTACATTCGCCGTGAGAGAAGGTGGTGAACTTGCATGCAAGTCGCCGATCCACCATCTCCGCTATACTCACCGCTTCTCATCATCCTGAAGCAACCACGTCTCGATACGATTAGGCTGGTTAATGCGCCCCGACATCTATCGTAAGCTCAGGTTCTCGATGAATGAGGAAGAATAGGATGGATCATTGTGGTCAACGGTTTCTCGGCAGAGGCTGGACGCCGAAGCGAACGTCTTTTCCGTGGATTGACAGATTATAATAGTTGTGTCTAATCATGTGTGCGGTTTGGAGATGATGAAGAGACTCACATTGTGTGATTGAGGGCAAGATGAAGCAGTAGGTGATGATGAACTCGGGAGTTGCGCGAGTTCAAGGCAACGAGGGCGTGAGGGTGGAGGAGTTTGGTCCCGTGGATGGATTTAATCCCGCGCGTCTCTCACCAAAGTCAAAGTTGGACGACCCCAAGTTGCTCTTAACGCTGGCTGATCCTCACATCCTTCTTCTCTCCATCATTCATCTTTCTCTCACGCTTCGTTCCCATCTCCCCCTCTCCTCATCTCCTTCATCCCATCTCCTCTTCTCCTCCTTCTGTCTCCTCTCCCTCCCTTTGTACACTTTCTTTTCCCGCGTTCGTTCCATTTCTCCCCCCTTTCCTCACAGTGAGTCTCGCTCCTCCCCACCTTCATGAAGAAATATATGTTGGCACCAGTCTTACCGTTATCGAGGGGACAAACATTCGCGCACCGCAATATACGCAGCGGGCGCCTGATACATCCACCCAGCTTCATTATCTTTCGAGACTTAAGCTAACGGACAGATTATTCGTAGTCCTATGCTCTTGATGAATGCTTGCTCTGAGTCAACTCATGTTCCACTTGTGCCCTTTGCCGCCGCTGCTCTTGCTTGATTGACTCAGTAACGGCAGCATTCATGCAATATTACAAACAGCAAAAGTTCAGATTATCCTACCACGCTCTGTGCCTGTGCCAGCAGCGCGGCCGCCTTGTTTTTCTCTCCGCCAGTAACACCCAATCCGTCCAGTATCCGCAGATCGGGGCATTTGTCAAACACGACACCACGGTAGAACAGCCGGCGCGAGTACCACTCGTCCGGCAGCTGCTGGCGGTACTGTGCGTCGCGAGCGGCCCAGGTCGCGTCCGTTGCCCCGGCGCCACGTACCTCCTTCTTCTCCTTCCCATCCTTCTTCGCGGGCATGAGAATCGGGAGATAGAAGCTCAACGTGGCGGGGTTCATGCGCAGGTCGAGCTCCTCGAGCCGCTCGAGCCCCGTGAGCCCTCGCACCGCGTTCCCTCTCGCGCCGAGGCGGCAGCCCACAGCCATGAGCTTGGTGAGGCGCTTGAGGCCAGCCAAGTCGTCCAGCGTCTCGATAAAGTTGTAGTTCACGTTGAGGACGCGGAGGTTCGGGGCATGCGTGGCCAAGCCCGTCGGCCAGGTAGACAGCTGGCACGCGATGGCTTCGAGATACACGAGGCTGTACGCGGGCGTCGCGAGGAAGTCGGGCGGCAGCGCGTTCCCGCTCACGTACAGCCGCTTCGCGGCCTGGATGTCCTCGGGCGTGAGAGCGAACGCCGCTACATCCTGGCTTCGCACGGAAAGGTTCTCGATGCGATGCCCACCGGCACCGCTGCGGGTCAGGCCTGGGAGGGCGTTGTTGTCGGCAAACAGCGTGCGCAGGCGCGGGAAGAGCGACAAGTCGAGGCTCGTCAGTCCGTTGTCCGAGACGCGCAGTATCCGGAGGTTGTTCATCGGCGATGTGGGCTCAAGATACACCAGCGCGTTCGCGTCCAGCTTGAGGGTCGTCAGACTCTTGAGCCGTTCCAGCCCGCGAATGCTCCGAATCTTGTTGCGCGAGAGGTCAAGCGACTCAAGGCTCTCCCACTTAGCGTTGGAGAGGTCGAGCTCCTCAATCGCATTACCCGCAACGCTGAGTTTGACGAGGCAGTCGATGCCCATTATCCCACTCAGGTCGGTGACCTGGTTGTTGTCGATGACAAGCTCGCGCAGATGGTGCAGACAGTCGAGCTGGGACACCGAGACAAGCTGGTTGCGCGAAATGTCCAGGAAATGCAGGTTACGCAGGTGACTCACGCTCGTCAAGCTCGTCAGGTGGTTGCCAGCAACGCGCAGCGTGCGCACTGAGCTCGGGACGCCGGAAAGGTAGTCGATCTGGTTGTCGTCCAGGACAGCCTCGTCGAGGCGCGGAAGGAACTCCTTGAGACGCGCCAGACTCTCCACCCCCTTATTTGAGAGGTCGATGGTCCGCAAGTTCTCCCAGTGTGGTTCGAAGGGCTGAACGTCGGTGAGGAGCTGCACGAGGCGATCGTGCGCGACGCCAAATGAGCACTCGGTGAGGAAAGTCTGGTCGGCCCCCCCGCCTCTCCTGAACGAGCGGAACGATCGAAGGGTATTAATGGGAACCGTAGAGTCCGCCTGTTCCTCTGTCACGTCCGATACCTCTTGATGCCGTCCATGGGCTGCGGCGGACGAGGATACCGACGACGAAGTTGACCTGGCAGGCTTAGAAGGCGAAGGGTCGGGCATGTCGTCGTCATCGTCATCGTCATAGTCGACATCCGTTATCTGCAGGTTCGCCATCCCGTCCAGCGCCTGCTGAATGCGGCGCGTCCGCATACTGGGGGCGATCGAGCTCTCCTCCATTATGTCGGTACGCTCGTACCGCTCAAAGCGACCCTTGCCGTCTACGCGAGACCACTCTGCGCGTTCGGCCTCTATGTGCTGTGCGATCACGTAGCCGTCAGAGAACGAAACGGAGCGGCGGTTTGAACCGGAGGACGGAGCAGCAGACGCCTCGCGTCCCCGAGCCGGGGTCAAGTCCGCGTGCCATGCTGCACGCTTTTTTATCGCGCTCACGGGCGTCGACCCGTTGGCGTTTCGCAGCGCCGAGCGGAGTGGCATCGGTGTGCCGTGGGCGGGAGCAGAAACGGAGTGGTTCAGTCCAGGCCGAGCGCGCGGCGTCTCCTGAGGATCGTCCCTATCGATTGAGTCCAAGGCGTACTTCTCGGGCGAGGATGACGGCGAGGACTGCTCCCGATCCGGAGAGCGGAAACCCTTCTCAGGTGACGAAAAGCCCTTCTCCGGTGAGGACATATCTCTTTCCGGCGAGGACATGTCCCGCTCTGGCGAGGAAAGGGGAAATCCTCTGTCGAGAGACGAAGGCGAGTCGCGCTCACCCGAGAAAGGTGGGATCGCGCGACGCTCCGGCGACGAGCTTGGGCGAATACTCGGTGATGTTGTGTCGAACCCGGCAAACACGTCCTGGCTTTCGTCGCTTATTCTCTGACTCTCGGCGCCCTCGGAGACGCGGGTGAGCGCGCCACGCGGTTCCCGAACCCAGCGGTGTGTCTCTTGGTCGTAAATCATCTTGCCGATACGATTGGGGACAACCCCCTGCACATCCCCGGGGCGGATCATGGTCATGTGCGTAGGGGTGGGATCCTTTGGCCCGCGGTGCTTGACAAACGAGGTCGACATCGTTGTCGCAGTCGCCACTGTCGTGGCGGAGACGAAACGATTCAGGTCGTCGACGTTCACAGGCCGCCCAGCGCCCTCAAGCATTTCCCGTTGAGCTGAAGGGCCAATGGCAATGTCAGAGGTGGCTGTCCCACTCCGAGAGTTTAGCGCTGCCTCAGAGAGCGAGCTCCCAGGAACATTGGTCTGCTGTCCGCTCGCCTTCCAAGAGAAATCGTGTCGTGGAATGTGGCTCTCAGCCTCAGATGACATATCGGCGTTGATGCGGGATGACACCCGTGACGACTCCGAAAGCACTGCTTCCTCGTTCCGCGGTGAGCTGTCGGTTGGCATGTCAGTCGTGGTTGTGGGCGAGACGACGCGGCTCTTGATGCGAGACATCATGTCCTCGGCACGGTGGAGGTAGTTGGACGACGCAGTTGAGGGGTTCGACTTGACCACCGGCTCGAGCTCGGGCGACGGGGACGGCTGGGCATAATTGAAGCTAGGGCCGGCGACTGTAGTCAGTTTCGTCGTCCCTTTTGGATACACTCACTGTCGCCGAGCACGCTGTGGTCATCAGTCCAAGCGGCGCTACCGCTCCTTCCACTCCTCGAGTCGGATGCTGACGTGGACGAGAAATCGGGATCGGTGACACGGATGCGCTCCAGCATGGCAGATCCTTGGGCGCGCCAATCGCGGAGCGCAGCGGGCCCCCTTGGCTCGGGACGGGCCAGCTTGATACGCTTCGAACTATGCGAGTCAGATGTCGCTGACTCCGGTGTCAGGGAGTTGGAGTAGGATGCGGAGCGATGCACCTCTGGCGTGTTAGAGGCCTCGGGAGACCAATTGCGCAGCTCCTCGCGGCGAGGGAGAGTGCTGCCCGCAGGCGGGCTCGCATGATTGCCGAGCGAGTCGACCATCGCAGAGAGGTGCTCGCGAGTGTAAGTGTCGTAGCCATTGCGGAAAAGACGGAGCGGAAGATTGGAGGATGCAGGTTGCGCTCGCATTGTCGAGTGCGAGGGCTCTCCGCCCGCCAGCGGGGCTAACGATGGCTCAAAGATAGGCGTCTCTGACCTGTCAAGGTCGGACATGTCGCGAGCGCTGCCCACAGGGGCAGAAAACTGGAAGGGGTACTTCCTAGGAACGCCAGCCTGAACCTCTGCCGCCTCTTCACGCTGGAGTGCTGACTCATTCCGAGAACCAGTGCCACGCATGCGCGTGGTTCCGGGCTGAGACTTGACCTCGCGGATGCGTGTGGTTCCGGTCTGCGAATCGGTCTCGACATCGCGCTCGTCGCGTGTGGAGTCCTCGTCATAAGGGTTAGTCGGGTAGTTGCTGCTATCATTTGGGATGGATGGGTGGTGGGTGTTGTCGTACGGGATTGTGGGCTGGTTTGTGTCGTCGTAGGAATGCGTGGGCCCGGTTTCGTCGAAACGGTGCGTTGCCTCCTCTGGAGTCTCGTCGTGCACCGCAGGCAGAAGCAAAGATGAGTGATTGTGCTCCAGACTCATGTCCGCCTCGACATGTGGCGCAGGTGTGGGGGCTCGGCTCGAATTGGTCGTTGTGGAGAAGGAGTTGTCAGAAGGCGTGATGCTCTTACTAAGTCGCGAGGGACAGGCGGGAGTGTACTGGTGTGATGCCCGGCGACCTTCCGAGCCAGAGCTTGGAGTGGAGCCAGACCAATGCGGAGACAATGACGGTCCTCGCGGCGTGGAGTGCGATGCTATCTCAGGAGCGAGGGGCGCCGACTGCGATGAGGTGGCCACCACGACACTCGGCGACTCGGACGATGACGACTCGAGGGTTTCCCGCTCGATGACTGAACGAGGAGGGGAAGAAAGTGGCGATGTGGATCCTAGCCTTGATGGATCCTCCTCCTCAAGAGTCGCCATGGGCGAGGAGGGTGGCTCAAACATCTTTTCCAGAGGCAGAGCGCTGAACATGTCCCTGTTGACGAACGCATTGCGGGGAAACGCCTTTCCGTGTGTCTCTTCGCCGTCCTTGACCACGAACGTACCCTTCTCGCTGCTCGGTGCAGGGGCCGAGACGCTGCGCGTGCTTCGCACGCTTGACTTGAGATTGCGTTCAGTGTCTCTGCCATCATCTGAGCTTGCACTCGTCGGGGGTGACAGCATGCCGCTAGCGTTGCGCACGTAGGGGTTCGAGGGCGAGCGTCCTTCAGGCAAACTCATCACGGATCCGCGCCGCGCGGGAAGGGCGCGTGCGGCGCTACCATGGCCTAGCGAACGGAGCGAGCCGCGCTTGTTGTGGACGCTGCCGCGGATAATGGACTCGTTGGGAACTGGGGTGGAGGGTGGTGAGGGGGATGTCTCTACCCACTCCTCTCCGAGCTCATCTGTCTGCCATGCTGGGGCGGACATGGTGACAAGCGACCGTTGAGGTGGACGTTGGATGCTGATGTTGGAGGAGCTGATGGGACGCGGGAGGATACGATACGTTGGTGAATGTTGTGCGGGGGGTGGGGAAGTCAGTCGCGCCCCTTGAAAGGGCTCCCACGTCAGACCAACACAAACAATGCCAATCCACTAATTTAAATCGATCCCCCACTTACAGTAAATCCTAACCGCCTAGCAACTGCCTCCGCTCCCACGTGGCCCAAGTGGAGGCCCTCCAGAATTTCTGAATGCCTGTCACTCGACCGCCGAGATCTATTGCTCGACTTGACAACAAACACCGGCATAATCTCACCATGCCGCGCATCAGGAAGAGTGCGTTCAAGGATATACAACAATTTGGCTGACATACAGAGACCTCCAACCGCCAGGCAACGCGTGACCGCGCGAAGATTACGAAGAAGGTCGCGGAGCACAAGAAGAAGTCGAAGCGCGAGGCTAAGCGTAACCCGACATGGAAGAGCAGTACGTGGCCTCGGGCACCTCCGTTATTTGTGACTTGGCTGACGAGCAGAGAAGAAGGCGGCCCCGGGTGTCCCTAACTCGTTCCACCTGAAGGACCAGGTGCTAGCCGAGATGGCGGATGAGAAGCGGCGCGCAGCCGAGGCCAAGATTGCGGCGCGCGATGCGGCACGTCGCGCGCGTGATGGCGAGGGGTCGGACGACGAGGATGCTCCAGGCATTAGCTCACTCATGTCGTCGGTACTTCCTCGTGAGGCCCTCACCGGCGTGGCCCCGCTGCCGGTCGAGGACGACGACGACGTGCCCGACCTTCTGGACTCGGACTTGCCCACGCTCCAGGCCGCGCTTGACGCGGCTGATCTCCTTCTCGAGGTGGTTGACGCGCGCGACATCCAGGGCGGGCGGTCGGCGCACGTCGAGAAGCTCGTCACCGACTGCCATGGGCAGGTGTGGCTCGTTGTCAACAAGGCCGATTTGGTGCCCCGTGAGGCCCTTGAGGGTTGGCTGAAAGCGCTTGACCTCAAGGCCTACGTTATCTCTGCGAAGGAGAAGTGGGGGTGTGCTGAGCTTCTCGAGGCCGTCACAGCCGCCTCCGGCTCCAAGGACGACTTCACGGTCGCACTCCTCGGCCTGCCCAACGTTGGCAAGTCGGCGGTGGCTAACGCCCTGCTCGGCGCAGACAAGTTTAAGGTCCGGCCGACGACGCTCGCATCGAGCTCGAAGCACCCCGCACCTACAACTTCTGCTTGCATTGAGGCAGTGCTGCCCGGCGGCGTGCGCGTCATCGATACGCCAGGATGGGAGTACGTCGAGGAGGACGAGGATGAGGACGAGGACGAGGATGAGGACGAGGACGAGGATGAGGACGAGGACGAGGACAGCGACGCCGAGATGGAGGACGTCGAAGAGGACGAGGAGAAGACTGCTGCAGCCGCTGCCAAGTGGGATGCGCTTGAGGCGCGTGTCGCTGGTGACCTCTTGCGCCGCAACCTTGGCCGCGTTGACAAGGTCAAGGACGTCTTCCCGCTCGTCAACTACGTTTTCGCGCGTTCCAACCCTGAGGATCTCATGCTCAAGTACAACGTGCCGTACTTCCCCGCCGGAGACCTGCAGGCATTCTTGACTGGTCTTGCGAGGGTGAACGGCCGCGTCAAAACGGTGTGTTGAAAGTCAGTTAACATTACTAATCCCAGCGTGGAGACCCCGACCTCGACGGCGCGGCGCGCATCGTCCTGCGCGACTGGTCTCAGTCTTCGTTCCCGTACTACACCGTCCCTCCCAAGGGTGCTTCTTCGACGATCAACCAGGTCGACAATTCGGCGGTCCTCTCACAATTGAAGACCCGCAAGGAGATGCGCGCGTCAGGACTGATCAAGTTCAAGGCGAGCGAGGTCGACGAGCGTGAAATTTTCCTGGACGACGACTACACTGCGGTGGCTCAGCCAGAGTCGGACGACGACGTCGAAAACGGGGAGGGCTTCACGGATGCCGACTTTGCCGGGTACGACGATGAGGATGACGAGGAGCAAGATGAGGATGACGAGGACGAGGACGAGGACGATGACGATGACGGAGAAGGCTCGTTCATCGGGTCAGACGAGGGCGACGAGGTCGAGCTTGAGTCTGGCCCGGAACCTTCGTCTCCATCGTCGCTCGAGGGTGACGAGTTGCCGTCTGACGAGGAGGACGAGGAGGACGAGGAGAGCGAGGAAGAGGAGGCTCCAGCACCGTCGCGCAAGCGCAAGGCGCCCACCTCGCCCGCTGATCTCCGCAAGAAGGCTAGGACGGTGTCCTTCAAGGCCAAGCCCGAGCCTAAGAGTGCTAAGCGTGAGGTGCGCGAGATCAAGTCGATCCTCAAGGCCAAGGACGAGGAATCGTCGAAGCCTTCGAAGAAGGCCAAGGTAGCCGAGCCGACAGTCAAGGCTTCCAAGACCGCGCCCAAGGCGAAGGCGAACGGGGCATCCAAGCCCAAGGCAACGGTCACGGCCAAGTCCAAGGCAGCGACTGCAGCAACCGACGCGGGCTTTGAGGCCTACGACTTCTCCAAGCACTTCTAGACATCTGTATTGTATGCATGGTATATAGGACATGGAGCCGCGCATTCCACTCGCAACATTTCGCCGCAGCACAATCTGTGATCGACATGCTTTGTGCCAAAATCGATGCAACGCCCTCCTGTCTGGCCGAAGGGGATACGTGCTGCATGTAATGTTGCGCACCTTGCAAGAGCGGAGTATGGCGCAGCGGAAAGCTTGGCATTCGCAACCATCTCTGCGACTGTGGTGTAGTGGTAGCATGTTCGCTTTGGGATTCTCCTATTGCGAATGGTCCGCGGTTCAATCCCGTGCTGTCGCCTGGCCTCTGGAGGTCTAGTCTTTTGGGTCGTTATTCTGGGGACCTTTGGTAGGCACCGATCGGCATCCCGGTGGCGCTTGACATGCATGAACTCGGAATTGGGGACCCTCTTGCGCAAGTCGACTCTATTCATCGATGGACTGACCGACGGCCGGGCCTGAGGTGAGTACGCAGCTACATCTCACCGGTACTTGACATATCTCGGCTGTGCTCAGAACCGTGGCGTGTGCGCTCCATATATTCCTCTGGTGAAGGATTGAGTGTGATATGAGTCCACACTTGTCGAGGCATCGTCAACGCGCCTCGCCACCATCTCCAGTGCGTCCATCCATTCCGGGGAAGCCATGACTGTGATGTTTCTTGCGCCGGTCTTCGTATCGCTTCTTCTGGGTCGAGCACGGTTGAGCTTGTCAGAGCGTGGGAATTAGCCTCGCTTCGTCGACTGGAACACCGCCTGCAAGGCCCGGATGGAGTTCGCTATAACGCACTAATCCTACTATGCGCTGTGCCGCTAATGATATGAGGCGGTCGCTCGCTTCCCGAAATCGAGCGCCTTTGGGTGCTACATATCGTCCCTCGACATCGTCCTGCACCTCTTACACATTCTTTGGCGAGGTAACGTCCGTGACGTGGGCGGCGAGAGACACTGCCCGTGTAAAAATCGGCCGCTTAGCTCAGCTGGTTAGAGCATTGTACTAATACGTAGACACGTATCAGCATATGCAAAGGTCGGCAGTTCGATCCTGTCAGTGGTCATATATCTTTTGCTCTACGTCTCTGCACTGCTTTTCTTTTGCATGCGCTTCCAAAGAGTCGTCATTTGGGATCCGTTGACCCAACGTTTCGTTCGCTCCCGTGGGCAGCGACCCTTTCCCTGCGACCCAACGACAGAGGTCTCGTGTGCATATCGATACTGATCGCACGACGAACAGCAAGGTGCCAACCCGGACAGCCAGCAATCATCCCCTACCCTCGCTCCCTATTCTTCCTGGGTAGCATCAGCGCTGACGTACAGCCGGGCGCAGCGAGCGTTCGCGCAGCCATCTGAATCCTGCTCGTACTCGTCCTCAGACATCAGGCCTGAGGAGTCATTAGTCGCAGAGACTGGTCGAAGATGGCCGGGGTCTACGCTTCGATTACTGAATTCCTGGCGAATGCAGTTAGAGATTGGGGGAGGGCCTGTCGTCAACATCTGGGATGGGATGGGACTGTACGCAGAGACTGATGGGATCAGCTAGATAAGCATCAAGTTTTCTATATGTATGGAAGTCAATATCTCGCAACGGGAAGTCATGCGGAACCAAACAAACCGCGGGGTGGGACGATCTTGGAGGAGACCCAATATCAGCCGCACCCGTCTCCTCCCCTCAGCTTGGTCCAGCAGGTACATCCATATGCAAGACTGCACGTCCCTGCGAGACCGCATTACACAAGCTTGCTGCAAACACGGGAAAACAGCGCAGGAAAGCGTTTCGGAATGTGTGGTGTACTGTTGCGCCATACCTTCTGGGCGAGAGACCTCTCGGTGCCTGGCTCCCGCGTCAGCCATCACTGGATGAGCTCATGTCGACAACTGCGCGCTGGGACGCGTACCGTCGTCAGATGCAGACACCGGCAACAATCTAGCCCGCACAGAGCTGGTATCGATCCTATCATGGTGCTAGCTCCGAGACAGTATAACTAGTGAGCTGGAACGTTACAGCTTTCAGTCACATCCCTACCCCTCACATTCACCATGGCCGCTCCCACAACTAAGAACATCCACGACCTTGACGGCAAGTGGGTTTGGGTAAGTATCCTGTTGACAGACTTGTGGTTCACGGTGGCCCCACTCCTTTCCCTCTAGGCCGGTCGCACTGACGCCAGAACCGCCAGCTCTCGGACCCCTTTGGCGAGATTCTGGAGATCCAGGGCGTCAACGCCGTCATCCGCAAGACAATGAACCTCGCCTCCCTCGCAATTCACAAGCGCGAGTACCGCGGTCCCCCAGCGCCAGGAGGGAAGAAGAGCGACGAGCCACCGCTTGCGCCCCCCGTCCCCGCTGAGGTGTGGCACCTCGACTGCAAGCACGTCATGACTGGCGGTCTCAAGGCCACGACCGAAGTGCGATGCTTTGACGGACAGGTGAGTCGTTGTCCAGCCAGAGAAGTCTAACCCCAAGGTGCGCGAGATTGGTGACTGGATATTCGGGACGATGTACACCAAGAACCTCCTCCTCGACTTCGCCGAGTTGCTCTCCCTTGACACATTCCTCAAGGGCACCGAAAAACGCGGGCCGTGGCTCGACGAGGGCGAGCTCATCTTCACCGAGGCGAGCAGCCCGTCCGGATGGGTTGTGACCCAGATCTGGGGGTTCCAGATGGTCGACGTGCGTGGCAACATGGAGCGGCGCCTCGCCCGCAACATTGTTGCGAAGCGTAACAAGGACGGCAAGCGGGCCAATGTGCGACTCGTCTATGACTGGGGAGGCTGAAGCGAGGCTCTGCCCCCTCCTTGACATTCTCTGACATGGATACGTAAAGCACAGTCAACTGAGATAAGCGCAGCAGACTATCAAAGAGATGCATTCACAATTCACAGCCCCTCGAGGCGTTCGCTGATACCCATATGAATCGCTCGCTTACGCCAATTCAAGTCTGACAGCTTCTCAGAATTCCTGCTCACTCAAGTCGATCAGTCTGCCAAAAGTATAAGGTCAAAGAGAGGTTCATTACTATGCTTCTATCTACATCGCCATGATATATGGCTCTAAAGGAGGGAGTGGCAGCTATGGAGGGCCAGGAGTAATGGCGCCAGAGTTACACCCAGCGCTTCTTCTGCTCCTCGTTGCGGCGTTTCTCCTCGTCCAGGCTGGTGCCAATGCGCTGCAGCAGGTCGGTGAGACGCTTGAGGTTATCAACTGCGAAGTCGCGCGCCGTCTCGCGGGCGGCCACGGTGGCCTCGATGGCCTCGGCCTTGCGCTGCTCCCACAGCGCCTCGGCGGCACGCTGAAGGCGGTCGATTTCCGCCTGGGTGTCGGCATCGTACTTCGGCGGCGCGGACGTGTTGTTGGCGGGCGCAGGCGCCGAGTGGTGGCGGCGCCAGCCGCGACGACGCTCCTCCTGGGGCTGCTCGGTCATGTGTTCTTGCACGGTAGGAGCCTCTGGAGGGCTCACGGGCGTCATGGCGGACGGCCATGTATATGCTGAAGTGGGAGGGGCCTCGATTGGGCGCTGGTAGCGGTAGCAGGAGGAGTCAAGCCGGCGCTCCCTGCTGCGCATCCACCAGTGGGCAGCGCCAACGCCGAGGCCGAACCATACAAGGCGACGGAAGATACCGAAGCGGGGCCGGTAAAAGTACATGGGGGAAATTGCGGGGTTATACTCGTGGGAATATACTTGTGGGAAATGACGGTTGTGATGTGGGCTCGTGAAGTAGGTTGGTGAGCTTGTCGGTCGTTGTGAAGACTTGATGTCTGCCGTCGTCGAGTGATGGGCAAGCCGTTATATGCTACATCAATCAGGCCGGTGCCGAGACGACTTGTGAGCTTTGGTGCGCCTGGTCGGCATGGCCGAGGTCAGCTTCGATGCCGAAGTGGAATGTGTACGATGCAGCGTGCCGCTCGGGTGGGTACATGTACGCGTGTGAGTTAGCGGGTGAGCGGGTGAGTGCATCGGTCTCCGATGGTTTCCGAGCCGCGCGCTGCATACGCGGCCATGCCCGTCGGCTTGAGCGAGGGAGTGAGACATCGAGCGATGAGGAAGCGAAATGTTGACTTGCCGGAGGACAGACGCGTTGCCGGCACAAGTCATGCGGCATTCATACCGCATTGACGTCATCAATAGGCACGCCACTTTCCCGGATAGGTGTCCAAAGTCCACCTCAAATGCCCACGTGCCTACCAGCCGCGTGGACCACCTCCACCTCCACTTTCATATGCGTCGCGATTGACGACCGATGACCTCGCCGCATTACGGACATCTCGCATAATCCACCCCCACGCTCTCCGCCTCCGCTTCTTTGTGCTATTATAGCACCTCTCAACTGGTCTGATCAACCTCTTCTCGTGTCAGGACCACGCTCGCCTCTCCGGTACCCCGCGCAACCCGCCTGCCCACACTGCAAATGTCGTACCGAAGGCCCGGCCCTCCGGTCCAATACCGTTTGGTAGCATCGGTCGCGGTTAAGATCTTCGCAGCTTTTCACGTCCTTACCGAGGGGGTGGTGAATACTCAGCCGTGCGCAGGCTGGAGCATGTATCCGACGCTCGACTCCTTCGGCGACGTAGTGGTCCTCTTCCCATTGGCGTATTGGCGACCCAAGATCTGGGGCATGTCAAATAAGCGTCCAGAAAGGGGAGACCTTGTGGTCACAACCAACATGACCAACCCAGCGTGAGTGTGTCCTGCAGCGTTATTACGGAAATGTCGCTCTACGCACCGAAACTCAGCGCGCGGCGCGCGGCGGAAGGACGTGGTAAGATCGTTACCACGCGTCCTCTTCTGGGCCGTCGCAGTCTCAGAATCTCCCGCCGCCAGTGCTGAACACTTGCAGGTACACCGTCTGCAAACGGGTTGTTGGAATTGAGGGCGACGTTGTTGAGATCGAGCCAACACGTACCGTTGACGGTTCAAAATCATGGGCACAAGGTCGGTTTTTGCGCGTGCCGAAAGGCCACATCTGGGTGGTCGGGGACAATCTCTCCAACTCGATCGATTCACGCGACTACGGGCCGGTTCCTCTCGCCATGGTCAAAGGCAAAGTCACAACAAGGGTGAGTTTGATTCGTCAGTGGTCGAGCGATTCGGCCAGGCAGGTTGAAGTCCGTTGCTGGGTGTTGTGGTCAGAGTTGGCAAGATGTTCAAGACGACTGCGGGATGGGGCATATGCGCCGGCTACTGATCTCCCCCGTGTCCGTCCTACCTTGCTTGGCAAGGACAACTGTGCATTGGTAACACCTCGTGCGCTGTTCCTGTGAGCAACCGTCACGGCAGAGCGAGGTGTATATCGGAGGTGCCGATAGATTCCCGTCGCAAGCGGTTGAGAGGGTCCAACTACTTGATCGGTCGATCAGGGCGTTCATATGTCGGAGGAGCATATGTGTACTGCTGGAGCGGTTTCGATTGGCGATCACTCCGCAGTAGTGTGCCATTCACGAATCCAGGTCGGAAGAGGGTCGCTGAATTGCCTCCTGTGGCACATTGCGCCGCTTCACCATGAGTTCGGCAGGACATACCGTCGGGTCACGTATGGACGGGTTCCTGCTGATCCCCGTCTGTCATGTCGTGATATCCATGAGGGAGGTGCCGGGGCCTTGGCCGCGTAAACTCTGGTTCCGATGGCCGATGGGTTCGCAATTCTTAGGCGCATCCTCACTATCGGATCGACTGTGGCACTTTGGCTGACGGCAGATATGGCACAAGGGGTGGCTGGACTGGACGCCGCTGGGATCAAACATGACCCATCTTGGGCCATCCCCCATCCCTCCGCCGGGGTCTGTGAAAGCGCGGCCGTTGTGAGGGGCAGTGGCAGCCTTGCGTCTGATGTACCATGTGAGACGCCGACGCGGAGTGAGGCCGCCAGGCGACGGTGCATTACGACATGCGTTCACCGACGTTCGACCAGGCACCCACGCGGCGTGGTGAGGGATGGCCGCGGCACGCATGGAAGGAAGGCTAATCTGGTCATGTGGTCTGACATGTTCCCAGACAGTGGAACATGCGGTCTGGTTGATCCACCGATCGGCTGATATATTGGGACCAGGGCCTTGATGGACGAAAGTGCGACGCGGAGCAGCGAGGCAATCGAGGGAGATTAGGCAGTACTGCAGTTGCATATCGGCTCGACTACGGGATGCGCTCCGCGCCACTATTAGCACGAGCGCGGCGGAGACGATATTACAGGAGAGCCGGGTGGGGACGGACGTTGAGCCGTCTCCTAGGTCTTCTGCTAATGGAATTCTTGAGATGCCGGAGCCGAGATGTGGTCGTCTGACCTGCACTCAATTTGCAGCGTGCCGGTGCGGCCTTTGAACTGACCGCGAAGAGAGCCGCCCACAATTACATAGAAATCCCCTGCTGCACACCGACGCAGCCCCACTCACAGTCAACAGGCACGGATAACGGCACATTGGGACCGGTAATTTTACAGTACAGGCGATTGCCGGGAACAACGTAGCAGTATTGTACTATGGAATTCCACCGATGCTTTCCGCGTAGAGGCATGGAGGGAAAGCGGGCTCATGCCGTCGCGCTACACCATTGTGGATTGTGGACGCAGTTCTACGCCTCGAGGCTAGGGGGCAAGGGCTCAACTCATGGATACACGGTCGTCATGTTTCCGGTTGCTGCGGAGAAGACATGGACGGCGACGGAACTTGACGTTCGTTCTGCTGTTAGCCTTGAGAGCCAGGATAAGGTTGGGTGGGTTTGTGCTGTCAGGGGAAGAGGCACAGAATGACATGGCACATGCCGTCACACCTGGACTTGCGCGGAAGTGCGGAGTCTGCGCGGCGGTGCTGGACGGTTGTGTCCAGACAGGCCTTCAACTGCCCCGATCACACAGCGATACTTGGACCTCGATGACCGTTACCCGCGGCAGCCACACAAAGCCACGGATCTCCCGGCGCGATGAGAGGTCGAAAGCGTCGAAAGTGACCAGCATGTGCCAACATCATCGCGAGGATCAGGGGCTCGAAGGGAATCGTACCTTGCGCGTGTTAAGCTTGAACCCCTGGCGATTAAAGTGGTCTGCAAGCGGTGTATTTGGCGGGCGACCTTGGTAGCTATGCCGTTAGCTTCGACCGTGGCGAATTAATGGCTGAACCATCCAGATCTGTGGCGCAATCAAGACATCACTTACTTCAGAGGCGAGAAGACCTTGAAGTTCTTGGACTGGCAAGTCGCCAAATATGGCGCGGGAGGCAGATCCCTGCCAGTTGCCGACCTATCAAAACATCGAAAACGGAAGGAATATCTGGTGGCGTTAGGAGACCAGGTTGCCTTTGCTTGTAATTTGTGTTTCAACTCACGTCCCCTCATAACGAATGGAAAGGTTCTGTGCGTCAGCCTGGCATGAAAAAGCACAAGAGAACAAGGGGATAGGACCTACAGTGAACAGGAACCAGAGGCCCATAGCGCCCTCCATGTCGATAACCCGGTTCGGCTCTATGTGCAAGCGTCCGTGCAAGTTTCGGGTACTCTCATCCGCTGCAGTGCGACGTCCACTACCCGGACGTGTGGAGTCTCCAGATGCTGCGGAGCGACCCCGTCCTCTGCGCGTGCCACCACGGCTGGCTTCGCTTCCTCCTGAGGCGGGCCGGGATGCCGAGGATGGACGAGACCCCCGCACTCCACTCGGCTCCACGACGGGCGAAGCATCGTCCTCGCTACTTGTTTCATGGTCACCAGACCCTGGGGAGAGCTGTGAGTGGCGCGACCGCGGTCGAGGAATAGGGGTGATAGACAACCCGGCTCCATGGCGCGAGGATCCAGCTTGGGAAGATCCGACGCCACCACCGCCACCAGCGTCATCCGTGCTCAGTCCCTGCCACATGCCCCCGACTCCGCCGATACCAAGGCCGACGGGAGCTTCTTTGGATGAAGCAGACGTGGACCCAGAGCCGAGCGATAGCGATGTTCCCACCTTGGACGATGATGAGAGCCGCGCGCGTGGCGGGGACGGTGATCTAGTGGAACGGTGCGCCCGCCCAGTACGCACTTCCGGGCTCGCCGGGGAATTTGGCTCCACGATATCCACGGCACACACCAGGGCCGATACGTCAATGTCACTGTGGCGTCAATTTGTGAACAGTGCACACGATTCCCATGGCTCCGGATGGCCCCAGCACAAATTCCCGCCACCCGCTTTGCCCTCTGTCGATCTGCCAGCAGCCAACAGGCATCGAAGAACTCACGAGGGATTCACGAGCATGCCTGGGCTCGACGCATCGTGGTGTTCACGTATCCAGAGCCGGACTATGGGGGTAGGAGCAATCGGGCGACGATCCTTCTCAGTCTTGCGGCGCCCAGATACGGGTTGTTGAGCGACCTGGAGACAAAAGCTGGGATTGTTAGTAATGACCCTGCCGAGAAATCATCGGCAAACAAGAGCCGTTCTATGGCGTTGTGGAGTCGCCTTAGATGCTGAATGTGGCCGACGAAATTCTGGCAATCGCCTAGGATGTGCTAGCAGTGCTGGTGGACGCTTACCTCATGTACTTGTTCGCGAAAATCCCGCGTTTAATGCGTGTGACGCGGGTGAAGTCTTGGGCGGCTGGCACAGCCTTCGGAGCAACGCCAGTCGCCGCGGTCGAAGGCAGAGCTCCAGGAGGAAGAGTGGTGGGCCGGCCAGAGTGTTCTTGATGCTGATTGCCACCATCTGGCGGGGCGGCCACCGCAGACGCTGATATTGGGCGGCGGCCACCATGGGGAGACGACATTCGCAACGCTGGCGCGGAAGAGCGCTCACGCGGAATGTAGACGTTTAAGAAATGCGAGATGGAGACGATTGAGGCGAACCGGGGAGGTTTAAAGGATGTTCAGAGAGGGTAGGAGAGGGGAAGCGAGAGCGGGTGTGAAGGGGACGCGGTCTCGTCTTCGTGCGAGACACAAACACACGGCACAAAGGAGGACAGCTGCTACAAGCCAAGACCATCGACTTGCCTCATTCTCCTCCTCACGCCCTCACTTGCTTTCACCCTCGCCGTGGGTACGTGTGGCGTAGGAGATCTCGCGCAGTGTGCAGGAAGTGCACCACTCCTAGAACTGCACAATACTGGCCGCAGGGTTAGTCTCTCCAGTTGGAGATGAACTACAACTGGTGGTCTCGAGTGGTAGGCCCTGTATCGAATTGGAACGTAGTGAAGTGCGAAACGGCGATTCTTTGCGGCACGCCCAGTTCAACCTGAGCATGCACGTGGCGCACTGCGGCTCGACTTCAGAGAGTACCAAGGGAAGTAGATGGAGTGTGAGCGCCAGTGTGGTTGAGTCGACCGCGGAGAGCGAAGGGAAGAGTGGTAATGGAAGGGAGAAAACATGTAGCAGGGTGAAGGCGGAATGAGAGTTGTCGGAGCGAAGGTGGTATCTTTGGATTGAAGTGTTCAGCGCGGGACCTGGAACACGCGCACAGCGCTGATGTTGAGTGGCTGGGCGAAGGCCGCAGAGTTGCACGAGCGCGTTGATCTTGGCGCGACTGTGCTGGGCTGGGAGAAATGCACTATTCGGGACCTAGGATGGTGAGCCAGACAAGGTTGTGGGTCGGTGCGTTGGGTGTGGAGGGCAGTCTGTTACGTCGGGCCTGACCGTGTTCGAGATATCGGTTGTCAGGCGCACAAGGCCAACGCACTCTTTGACCCAAGTATGTTTTGATGTGGTAAACATGACCAAGCCCAGCATGTGGGTACATCATGTTGGGCGGCGGCGGCATTCGTGTTCTCGGTCCGCGATGTTCGGACGTCGCTTTTGGAGGTGGTCGCCCAAGCCCTCTTCTGCATGTCGTATGCCCGTCTCCTCTCCTACTTTTCGGCTACCCTCTGGGCTCGGCATCTGTTCCCCTGGCCTGGAGTGCGTGCGTCCGTCCTCGGCAAAAAGGCTTCTGAGAGGAGCAAAGAACAGATGCTGGGGGCTAGGTATACACGTGATGGATGCCGTTGTCCCTTCGCTGGTCTCGTTCCGCGCCCGCTTGACAAACTATCGGCCCTGCCCACTAATGAGGTGGGGGAGGTTGGTCGCTGGCGCCGAGGTCCGGAGAACCTGGAACCTCGAACCGCGGGGCGGTCGTAGAGGAACTATCGCAACACGTCAGTTTCTTCAGACGATTCCTGACAGCCCTGGCGATCCTGGATACCGCCGCGGTTTCTGTCAAAAGCTGGCTGGTCCATTGTTCCTTCGGCGAGGCTCTCGGCTCCTGGAGTCCGTGGATATTCGAAACGAATCTCTCGCGATGCACACAACAGGTTCTCCTCTGAGCCTCAGGTCGCCCCCGCCGCTCCACCGGCGTTGTCCCCGTGGGCAAATCAAGGACGGGAAGGAGAGCGGAAGACAGCCTGGACAGCCTGTGACGGGCTGCTGCCGGAGCGAGGGTCACAGGCCGGAAGGACGAGTGTCAGCGCCACGGCCCGCCGTGCCTGTCGCAGAAGGACAGGTGGACGAGAGAATCGGCAACCAAGGTTGGTTTGACTCCTGGCCCCATGGCCTCATGTCCTCGTGTCCTGGTGTCCTGCTGGCTCTTGGGTGATCAGGATGATTTGGATGATCACGAACCTGACATGCCGCGCGACCAGAGCTTCAAGACGGCAGGTGACTGATCGACCTCGACTACCGACCGGTCTTGCGTAGGCATGGCCGAGTCTTGGCCTAATGTCCCAGTTCATCGCCCAGAAGATTCCCGATCCGGGGAGTTTGGTGAAAATCATCAAGACGCTTTCAGGCTGAGTGAGGCCTGGGAGATAGTCGGGTCTCCGCTCTCGGCACCTCCCCGTTGAGATGTCGGCTGTCATCAACCACTGTGCTCTCATCCCGAGTGCCTGGATACCGTTGTTGTTGGCCAACTCGCCACGCTGCCCTCGGAGTCAGGCCTCGCTCAGCTCAGCCCTCGCCACGAGCGGCGCCTCTCACATGCAACATCGTGCTCCTCAGCTCCTCAGTCCAGGGTAGACCCCTGGCGGCATCACCCCCATCCCGGCCTCTCGGCTTGCTCCGCAACCATACGCACCGGAAACATGTGCTGGACCCTCACTCCGTTCCTCTCAATGGACCCGAGCTCGCTCTTCCGCATTTGGACCCCCAATCCCTCGCCGTAATTCCAGACCGGAGTGCCACGATTGGTGACGCCAGCGTTGTTCCGAAATCTTCTGTCACGCCCGGTGTACTCTTGTCTCTCGTCATCACGCACCAGTGTGCTTGTGCTCTCCGTTGTGTCCTGCTCTTGTTAACGTGCGTCGTTCCACCCTGCTTCAGTTCCGAGAGCACCCTTGTGTGGGTCCATTCTGTCCATACTGCCCCAGCATTTTGTCAGACAGTCCGTGGCATGAGGAGCTGGGAAGTCAGGTTTCGTTAAGCACGTGCTGTGGCGAGGATACAACTGAGTGTCATAGGTGGGGCAACTCACTCCAAGGAGCCTTCCCCGCCCAACGCCGGGCTCTGGAGGCGAGTCATAAGACTCTATGGGGCAGAGCACTCAGCAGGGACGTGCTGAGCCGAAGTTGTGCCCGACAAGAGATTGAGTGACCGAGGCCTGTCAGAGGTGCCATTATCATTCAAAACCGCCCTATGAACATAATGGCATTGCTTGCATGAAAGCCTGCTACCCACGGCTGCCCCACGCACGCTGGCACACCGTCTCCACATCCTTGGGTCCAAATTCGAGCGCCAGGCCCGAGGTGGAATCGCAGCTCGACATAAGCTGCTGTGCGCGCCCAACTTCCCCAGTGAGAGCCGCTGTGACCTCACGCCACACGCTTGCCATAAGCGCCGCTGTGGCAGCGTCTGTGGGCCTCGAGCCGCTCCCGTGATCACCCCCCGGCCCACTCTCGTCGTCGTTGAAGTGCTTGTCAACTCGACGCGCCATAGCCTCGACTGCCTTCTTCATGTCCTTGGAACCTGTCTCCTTGAGAACCTTCTTCAGGGTGCTGCGCGAAAATGCCGAGTGCATGTTGACCTCGTTGGGTGGGGTTGTCTTGAGTTGGCGCTCAACGCCATCGAAAAAGTCCTACATTGTCAGCGCTCATACCCACCGCCTGCGGAGCCCGGCACGACGTACCATCAGTCGGCTGAAGCCCCTCCTCAGCATCATCTTGATGTAGGCCTTCATGTTCTCGTCGTACAGACCTCGCGCCCGCTGGACGAACACGGCAAGCGCAGCGGCATTGAGCTGAGCCACCTCATCGACGAAGGTATGTAGATTCTCTGCGGGCGTGTTAGCAGCTGGAAGCTGGCAGCTGGACAACCTCTTAGACTCAAACTCACCGATCATGACAACATGGAAGTATAGCTGGCCCTTGCCCTCGCCTGAGCCCGCCCCAAGTTCCGCTCCCACGACCTTTGAGACGTGTTGGAGCGACCCGAGTACGCTCGCAGCGACGCGCTCATAGGCGTTGTTGACCCGCTTGCGGATATCCAGGTTGTCGTAACTGCTGTCCAACTGACACTCGATCCTCTCGACGAACACGGGGAAGTGCCGAACAAAGTAGAACACTCCGCGCCGCTTCCGCACGGTGGTCTTTGCGCTATCGATGTTCTTAACTTGATCGTTCTGTGTCTCAGAATGTTTTCGACTGGGGAAGAAGGGCTACAGGATGTGAGATCGCCGAGATCGACAGACCGTGCAGAGCGATCGCCGCAAGAGGGGCATCGGAACATTCCGATGGCCATCTTCCTCTGTGGCGCACCCGGAGTTCCGAGTCTGCCACGCCAAAGCGCAGGGGTACTCACCACAAATGCCTCAAACGCCTGCCGCTGCCGGCCCAACTGTTTGTCAAACAGCTGCTGGACGAACATACTCGTCCCCTCCATTTGCGCGTCCGCCTGCAGCTGCTCGGTGGTAGCAATGACGCCAACAAGCGCAGGCGGGTTACCCTCAACGCTTGCATCGACCCAAAGGCGCATCTCGCCGTCGACAAATCCGAACATGAGCTCCATGACAGTACGCGTAAGCTGCGTGAGACTGGCCGAGAGGCTGTGCGAAGCGTGGCGCGAAGCCTGGCGGCGGAAGTAAGTGTCAAGCTCCATATAGTCGGCGAACGTTGACTCGGTGTCGCCAAGGTGCAAGAATGCTGCGATGAAGTCGTCCTCGGTCACGATCTGCTTGACGACCTCGGACACGCCTGTGGCATACATGTCCGCGACCTTGCGCGTCGCGTCCGTCACCTTCTTATCGCCGGTCCTAGCCATCTCTCCGCGCTTCAACGTCTTGGATCGCACCACAGTCGCAGTGATACCTGAAGGTTTACTGGTTGACTGCGAGGCCTGCGCGAAGGCTGGGGTCAGCATAGCCATTGAGCGGAATCTGATCACTCACAATATTCTGGAAGGCCCTTAGTGCTTGAGTTCAACTCTCCCTTGAGTGCCATAAGTAACCCCCGCATCTCCTTCTGGTGTAGCTTGCTCATGGTCGTAATGTAGTTGAGGCAGAGCTTCTTGTACCGCTCCTCGTCCATGTCCTTGATGAATAGTACGATGCCCTCGTAACCCATAAGCGCCTTGCCAAGCTCTACGTGAGGCTCAAGCACCAGGCTCCGCCGCTTCTGGGTTTCGCCCCACGTCGCCTCGGACTGATGATTAAACGCCGTGTCGAGGTATTGCACCATGCGCTGGGCGAACTGGCTTGCTGCCGCCTCATACTGCGCCACGTGTGCAACCGTTGCAGCGACTTCGTTGGCGGTGTCGCGCGATGCCATGAGCGCCTTGTACAGCGACGCGGCAGCATGCTCGAGTTCTGTGATGCCCCGGGCCGAGCTGGGCGATGTCTGCTGAAGTCGCGAGAGATCGTCTTTGGGGACGTCAGTGATCTGGAGCAATTGCTGCACCTCAGCAAGCAGGGCGCGCTGATTCGACGTTTGTACTTGCAGACCTCGATTTTGACCCTCAATGTACGCGATGTCCTCCGAAACGGCCTGGGGTTAGCGGTTGGGAAACTCCCAAGCTTACTCACATTCAGCTGCATCCGGTAGCCAGTAAGCTGCACGTCAATATCGTCAAGCTCGATTAGCGCCTCGTCGATGTGCGCTAGCACTTGGTCTACGCGGTCGTCGGATTCTAGGAACGCGTGGATGTTGGCCTGGCGTCAGCGGCGCGGAAATCAAGTTGTCGCTCACATTCTCAAGGGCAGCTAATTCGTCCAGTAACCGCTGTTCAATGGCGTCTGGTCCCTTACGGCTGCTATCACCAGCTGTGGCCGATGCCGTCCAGTCAAAGCCTTCGATCAACTCCTCCACGTTGGCCATGATCGCGTCAGCCGCCTCCTCTTCGTCCTGGCTCATGACATCAGCACCGAGCAGACCCGTGCGCTGCGTGAGCAGCACGTCGCGTGAATATGACGTGGAAAGCTCGGGCGGGACGAACGACACGCGGCGCTGAAGCGGCTCGGGAGTCCTCCTTCCTTCTCTCGGGGTAGCTTCAGTACGCGTTGCGCCTGGTGGGGCTAAACCCTCCGGGGGTGCAAGGGTCGCAGAGGTAGTGGCTGGGGTCGAAGTGGTGGGTGTAATGCCGCCCGGAGAATGAGCGAGGTCGCCGTTTGTTACGATCAATGGTGTTGTGGTGATCGCCGGTGGAGCTGGTAGGGGAGCGGGAGATCGAGCCTCGGACGTGGCGACTGTGACAGCTGGGATGGTATAGGCTGGCTCATGGGAGACGACGCTGTCAGACGCCCGGCCATTTTGCCGGGGTGATGTGAGGACCTCGTCCGCAATGCCGCCGTATGGGTCTTCGTCCTCGGCAACAGGAGGGATCTCAGCGACCTCGCTAGCGGCCGAAGGACGGCGAGCCTGCGCCGGCCTGGCTCGCGATGGTGGTGGCGGAACACGGTCATCACTATTCCCGCTGTTGCCTCGGCGCGGTGGAGGCCGCCCCGGACCCAAACTTTCGGGGTATCGTGGGGCGGGGGAGGGAGCGGGGCGAACCTGGGCGTCGCGCTCGCGACTCCCAGAGCTCCCAAGACGCTGTCGGAAGCCGCCATCGCTCACGACACTCCCAGCAACACTTCCCGCTCGCTGGTCTATTGAGGAGAAAGAGCCGCTGCGCTCTGTGGGACGGCGGGGCGGAGCTAGGTCGCGATCGTGCCGCTCATGTGTCGACGTCGTGGATACGAGCGAGGCCGAGCTCGTCATGGCCGGGTTGCTCCGCTGCGGGAGCCGGTCGCGGATGCTCACAGGTGGCGGGTGATGCGAACTTGAGCTCACTGTCGACGTCGAGCCCTCGTGGCTGTGCCCGTCGGGCGTAAAGTTGATAATCTGCGGTGCTGCACCTCCCATCACACTCTTGTAGGCCTTGATCAGCGCGGAAAGGAATGCGTGCTGGTCCCGTGCCGAGTCCACACTCCAATGGTACCGTCTAATCGTCATTGTGAGCGCGAAGTCGCGCGGCTGCTGTCAGCTTGTTTGCAGGGGAAGCCCGGCGAGCTCACGCCAATCTGCTCCAATGCGCGCATATCGCTGAGACGCCACGTCTTGCCGCGCGAGAAGGTGCCATTCGAGTTGCTCTTGCCTTTGTGCAGCATGCATTCGCCCAGGCGCGTCACTAGCGTCAAACTGCGTCCCGAAGATTGCGGTGCTCGTTCTCACTGCCCTCACTCACCGGCGAGGAAGAGATAGCGGGTCTTGATGGATCCATGTCCGTCATCTTCCTTGACGCGCAGATACGTCACGAGCGTCTCTTCAAGCGTCCCGTCCTCGGCCTTGCGCGAGAACAGTGAGCGCACGATGCGCGCCCGTGTGTCCTCCGAGCTCGAGCTCGACATGGCCGTGGGTGTGGTTGTGGTTGTAACTGCACTAGTTTGTGGATGGTATGGACCAAAGTGAGACAGTCCGGAGACGCGACGACGGTGAACCGTGCGATGACGCGCGGGGTGGAATAGCGGATCCAAATACGCAAATGGATCTCGTAATGAAGGGGTTGTTGTTGTTAATTTCAACGTTGTCTGTTCCCTTTACACGCTCGCACCGACCTCTTCTCCTCGTGTTCACCGCCAAGCGTCCCTCGCTCGTCATGTCCTCTCCTCATTCCAACTCTCCTCAGAGACCTCCATTGGCTCACGCTGCCTCATCCACCCCGACTGCGCCGCCTGCTCCTCCCGCTCCACCTCCCCCCTCGCCAGCAATCGTCATGGTCGACCACCCCTTCTCCGGCACGCCCCGTGGCCCCTCCCCCCGCACGCCAACCATGCCGCCACACGACGCCCTTCGCGCCCTCCTCCATGCCTTTCTGCACGTGACGCTGCGCGACGGCCGTATCCTTAGCGGCAATCTGCTGGCCGTTGACGCGTCCGCCTCCCTCCTCTTGTACGATGTGCACGAGACCCGCACCCTGCCGAAGACGGACGTCGGCGCCAACGTTGCGCAGTACTACCCGTGGTCACGGCCACGGCCCGAGGAAGGTTCACACGATCCGAGTGACGGAGATGGGGGTTTTGTGCGCCGGCGCGAACTCGCGAGCGTGCTCGTTAACATGCGGGATGTCGCAGCCGTCGAGATGGGAGAAGAGGACGCGGCGAGTTGGTCGCGCTTTGCCTGCGTGGCGTTCGAGAAGGGTCAGGCTGTGCCTCCTACAGCGCCGTCTCCGGTGAAGGTGTAGACTAGGCTTGTCATGACGATGAGATGCGAGAGCGGGAAGAGGGCGCAAGGTGAGTGGCACATACGGACTGGGCTGAGGCAGGTGCTTCGCCTTCCTCGTGCGGACATGGAGCCGAAGTGCTTATTCGGGGCCTTCAAGTGGTCTAGAGTGTCCCCCTATGCGCTGTTTGCATGTAATGCAGCGACTGGGGCAGGCATGAAGCTGGGCTGGGCACTCTAGACTTGGAGATGAGCAGGAGTATGCCTTTGGATGGCGTCGGGACGCTGGTGCTGGGCGCAAGTTCAGACCTCATTACGCTGGATATCTTACGGCTTCTACCGTGGGCAAGCACGTCAAGATGGGTGACAGCGCCGGACCTCCGGCACGAGCTTGGGACGGTATACAACCGATGCCACGGCGACCCCCGAAGTGGGCAGACAACAGTCAGTCTGAGGCAAGCTAACTGCGACTGGATGGCTTGATCCCGGCATGCTGAGCACGAGTCTGGGACGTTGTCGCGAAGAGTACGAGATACTAGGAGCCAGACCCCCGTAAGTGGCGTGAAGCTGACCAGACATGACATGGCTGACCAAAGAGCTGCGGCCGCCTCCGTCGACCATCGATTGACTAATGTATGCGTGAATGAGCCTGCCACAACCATGGCGGCGTGATTGATTTCCTACAGAACCACCTCAGCGTCGCGAGACGGAGCCTTGGCCTTTGATTCCACGGATGCATCTGGCCGGCGATCCGCGATCCGCGATCGCCTGCTACATACCAAGGCGAGATCCCACGGACTGCCGTCCATGTCCGGTTGCTCTTCGGCTGTAGCTGAGCGACCGCGATTCCAGTCACCCGGCGGGCCGGCCGGCCTCGGTCGGGATCCGAGGCACGTGAGGCTGGGAAGCAGTCTGGCGTCAATTCGTCAAGCGGAATGGAGACGTGGAGATAGAGCTCGACTCTGCGGAGCGCTGAGCAGCATGAGCATCAGCTGGCAGGCATGCGAGAGGCAGTTCCCAAGCCCCTCAGTGGCGCAGTCGTGTCCATGCCCGACTGCAGGCCGATCGAGGCATGCGCACGCTACCGTCACAGTTAGTGATGATGTCACTGCACCGCATCATTTTCCGCAGCAGCATCTGCTGGAGCTCATGGACATTCACAGGCGCGTGGCATGCTTCTGATACGCTATGATGACTGTTTGCGATGAACCACGGGCCATGGGCCATGTCGGAGGGTGGTAGGCTGCGCCACCGCGGACGCAGGTGCAGGGTGTGTTACATGAAGGCATTGTGCCGAGGCGGAGATGCGGAGCGGACTGGATTTCGAAACGGAGGCGCGGCGAAGGGAGGCGCAAGGCGCGGAGGCGGAGGGCGTGAGAATGTACGGGCCCTTTTAGGAATTACAGTGTGAGAGGGCCGGGGCCGAGTCCATGGCTAATGACCAATGTCCCAAGTCTAGATATCGCTGCGTAGGCTGCGATTTGGAGAATCAAAATAGTTGCGCGGCTGCGCGTTGCGATGTGGAGCTGGAGCGACGTGCTCAGACGATGTCCTCGCGTCCCTCGAAGCGCAGGTTGTCGACCTGCGCCGCGTCGGGTCGATTGTCAGAGGCACGCGACGACGTGGAGAGCCCACGGCGGTGGCCGGAGGGCGACGACTGCATCGGCACGGAACCGAGCTCGCCGTGGATCGATGTGCGAGGTGTCGAGCGATTACTCGTGAATCCGGTACGAGGGTAGTATACCCCTGTCGGAGTTGGTACATTGCTGTCCAGCGCGTTGATCGAGGTCTGGCTCAAAGGTCGAGGAAGAGTGATGGAAATTGACCTGTGATGGGGCGCGCCGCGCTGGTGGCCGTAGCGCAGGCCGCCGCCGAGCGAGCCCATGGAAGGCGATCGCTGGGGCAGGCGACCAACCACGGAGGGAGGAGGCGAGCTGGTGCGCGAATTGGAGCCGGTAGTGCGCGATTCAGAGCCGTCTGTGGACGCAATGTTGTCGTATGGTGACAGCTGGTCAGCAGAGTTGCCGATGCGGTGGAGAGGGCGGCCGTCATGTTCTTGGAACGCTGACGTGGTTTCGGGCCCAGAAGATGGCGCACTGCCTGTCGAGCCATCGCGGTGCGGTGTTGTATTTCCGCCAGATGACGTGAGGGAGGGCGATCCGGATGGGATTGAATTAGAGGGGAAGCGAGGAGACTGGTCCTGCTGGATCGAGGAGTTCGGCGAGTCGACCGGGTATGCGGAGTAGTACGATTGCCTGTACGTGCCCGAGGCGCGTGGACCTATGACTTGGGTGTCAGCACCCTCCACGAGTAACTGCTCCCACTCACGAGTTGAATATGAGCTGACGCGGTGGTTGCTACTCATTGTCATACTCATGGACCGGCGAGCATTTCCGACCATGGTCGGAGGGCGGTACGACACTTCCCGTGGCGGTCTGATCGTCAGCACAGCTTCCTTCTCGTCGCAAGGACTCACGGAGGTGCAATCTTTTCGCCCCTGCCGCGGCACTGGCGCCAGATCACAAAAACGACAATAACTAGAGCCAGACCGCCAATGATGCCTCCAACTAGGGCCCCTATCGCTGGCTGGCTTAATCCACCGGAGCCGCCCTGGACCGTGCTGCTAATGAAGGCCCCCGGATTCGAGGGGGGGCCTGCTGTTGGCCTGGATGTTGTAGCCGACGCTGCTGATGAGCCGCTCGCACCGCCTGCAGGCGAATTCGTTGACCCGTTCTGGGCTGCCCCAGACTGCGCGGAGTTCTGTGCCGCGCTTGGTGAACCTGCGGGCGAAGCAGCGCCTGCGCTTGCCGACGATCCTGCCGACCTCGCCGCAGAGGAGCCGGCCGCAGCGGCTGCGCTAGGTGATTGCCCAGCCTGGCCAGATGCTTGATTCGCAGCGGCAGAGGGTGAAGCAGCGGCAGGGGAAGAAGCTTGGGCCTGCGCACCGGTGCTCTGTTGGGCTTGCCCTCCGGCTGTTGCTTGACGTCTCCGTGGTCCTTTTATGGAGCTAGCTGCGCGCTGAGCCATGACTGGGGCGCCATTGGCGAGCGCACGGAACGACATGCCAGTGAGTCGCCCGTTGAGTATTAATGTGCCGAAGAGTGGGATCTAGCCGCCGGAGATATGTCGCTCAGAGTGTGCGCCACCGGAACTTGCAGTTTGAATGACGATGCTATGTGAAAGATGTGCGTTGCTGCAAGGGGGGTGATGGCTGTGATGGCAAGATGGCCTTGGCTTGGCAAAGCGCTAGCGCCAAGAATGCGGAGGAGGGCCGCGGAGCGCAAGAGGCCGATCGATCAAGAGCTTGAGTGGTTCGGGTGCGATCGTCAAAAATCGCCTGATGGTTGCTGTCGATGGGAGATGGACGTGAGATGCTGAGCGAGAGGATTCGACGAGCGAGGAATGTGATTGCCGTGAAGGAATGAAATGAATGAACGATCTAGCTTTTGATGCGGACGAGGCGGACGAGGCGGATGAGAAGAGAACGATGTGAAGGTGCTGAAGATAGTGTCAGCAGCGGAAAGTGCGTTTCAGGTCTCGGCGGCCGCTCGGCGGTTGGTTGGGTGGACTGTGAACTGTCGGATGCCGTCGTTGAGGAGCTGCGAGGGGGGGAAGAGAGGGAGAGGGCGGGTCGCAACTGCCTTGATCAGACAGTCACCGTGCAGGAGCGATGCAATGCACATCCACTTTCTGGTCCGTGCTTGTGCTTAAGACCAAGTGCGTGCCCGGATCCTCGGATCCACGAGGATCACGGATCACGGAGACCGCTATTGTTGTGGAGATGGACACAGAGCAAGCGCTGGCACAGTTGAGAAGGTAGAGGTGATTCGGAGGTGCCTCAAGATGATGGGAGAGGTTGCGGTGGGCGTCGTGCACCAAGCGCTGCGAAGCTCCACCGACAAACCAGAGAGGGAGAGCGATTCCAGCACAGACGAGGGGTGTGATGAGAAGAGATTGGTTTTGTGCAGCGTCCAGAAAGGGGAGCGCGCTGGAGGCTATAGATGTGGGGAGTGGGCGGCATGGGATGGGAGCATCGGAGTGGAACGACCAACGTCGTCATTTCGACTTTTCGGAGTACAGAGGAGGGAGTGGGCGCTGGGAGGAATGGAATCTGCTGTACTCACGATGATGGACACGAAGAGTAAGCCGAGATGCGTTGAGAAGGCCCAGAGACGGAAAGATGGGATGGACGGAGGAGAGTGTGAGAGATGCAGTGATGATGAGGTGTTGTTGGGTTTGAGAATGACAAGATTAACAAGATGAAGCGATGATGTGGGGTGGTGACTAGTTCGCCGGGTGACAACGGCGACCAGCTGCCTGGCCCCCTCTTTTCCCCACTCTGCGCATTCTGTGCATTCTACGTGCTGCGCCCATTTGGCCAACTGCTGCATGCTGTACGCTCCTCCTGCATAGCTGACGCAGTGACTGAGAGACTGAGGCTGATGCATGGGCAGGGATGGTAATAGTCTGTAATAGGCAACGACGGGCCAGGGGTAAATGCCACCCAGGGATCTCTCTCCTCTCCCCCCGCTTCAACGCATCATCATCATCATACTTTCCATCATGAACTACGACTACGCTACGTTTTTTACGGGCGTCTCTTATCCCAAGCTCTTGTACTCGAAGTGCTCGGCAAGTGAACGAATCTCAAAATACCTTTGTCGGGCAAATACCCAAGCGGCCAAGAGTGCCTCTCATGCAAGAGTGCAGAGATCAGCGCAAGTGGCATTTCAGGGCGGCGCGATGACGTCTTTAGTTCCCACTGATCATCATATCATTTCATTCATTCTCACTCTGGCCCCGAGCTGCCCCGCCTCCAGCTGCCTTGAGCCGCCTCATACCCCTCTGAGGCCTCATAGTCTCGGGCTACATACTTTAGCAACAGCTCTCCACCGCCCTCATTTCTGTCCTCGATCTACTTTGCCACATCAGCACTCGTGCCCCAATCTCATAGCAGTGCTCTGAGGCCGCGCAGGCGTACTGCTTCGGAGGCATCGGGCCGTGCTCTTCCCATACTCGTACAGCTGGGCTGCAGGCTCGCCACTGGATCTGCGGGCAGCCAGCGGCCAGCTCGGCCAACTCGGCCAGCTCGCATAGAGTTGTACCACTCCAGCAACCGGGCTTCGCTTAGCTGCGCAGACCTACGCGGCCGCCGACGCTCAGCAGGCTTAGACGCAGCGTTCGGTATAGACGCAGAATGGGAGCGTGACGGCGTCTTGTGCACCTTCCACTCTGAGCGTTACTTGCAAGCCGGCTCTGCCATTGTGCATGCCAGAACTTTACCATGCCTGACAAGGTGGGAATTGGGCTAGCAGTAGTGTCAATCTGTTCCACAAATCCAAGCTTCAGACCGTCCACACCAAGCTCGGGGATGTACCCAGGTCGTCAGTACACCCAGGCCACCATCGGCCCGGCAGCGGCGGGTACCTCGTACCTCCCGTTCATTCCGAGCATAATGAGCCGCCTCGCCGCCGCCATACCGCCCCGATTGAAACATGCCAAAGTCCCTGTGTCTCAACTTTGTTCACGCCACCCAAAGTCATGTCGTCCTTCATTCCTCATGACGTTCAACTTCTGCTTCATGTCTCAGCCCTTTTAAAGCCAGAACTAATTCCACGAAACTCACCGCTTGCCCTCGCTCCGTGCTCTCGTCCCCCTACTCCTCTCCGCACAATTTCCCTCGTCCTCGCTGTTCGGCTCCCCGGCCTCCCACTCGTCGTCGCCGAATCGGTCATCGTTCTCCTCACTCGCGCTCTCGTCTGCATCTCCGGGGTTTCCCGCCTCTCCTAACGTGCGGATGAAGTTGATGATCTTGACCTCGACCTCCCTCCACTGATTGACGTTATCGCTGTGCTTGCATCCCCACTCATCCCACTCACCTTGGCCGCGCACTCGCCAGCAGTCCGATCGCCGACGCGGTCGCCGACGGTCGCCCAGCTCAGATCCCGCTGCTTCAGCGTGATTCGGACGATCACATACCCTCGTCACCTTGACGGTGCGGTATAGGCGCTCCAGGTCGTCGGATGTCCACGGGCTGCCTTTGGTGGCTGCATGGTTGAGGTCAGTGCCGCTGGGAGGTCCTCCCTCCACACGGCGACGGCGTACTGTGCTCGTCGAGGGTTCCTGTTCACAGAGCCTGGAGGAGCCCTCCCTGTGAGCGGGAACTAGCCTTGGTTCGCGCACGGGGCTACGGCCCGAGAAGGAGGTGATGGTGGGCGAGGAGGCAGGGTCGACGGAGACGTCGCTCGAGTCCACGTCGATTTGCCGAAGAGCTGCGACGTTACGGTCCAGAAGAGAGTCTCGACGGCGGGGACGGGGGCGGCGGAAGGAGTGATCTGGTTGAATCGAAGAGTTTGTGGAGACGGGTGAGAAGGCGGCGGAGGAGGCGGTAGAGGAGCGGGGCCGGCGCTGTGGCATGGTGATGGGGGGTGGATGTGGGTGGTCGAGGCTTTCAAGGAAGACGAGGGCGCGCCGAGGACAGATGGAAAATGAGAGAAGCGTTTGCCCCTAACAACGAACAGAGGGCGTTATTAAGTGACTGTTCGTCTAGTCGCAGCGAGTGTGGGGATCTAGGGGGAGGCTGAGGCGAAGAGAATGGGGGAACAAGGATGACGAACGCGACTAAAGGTGGCGTTCCGAAAGAGCACTGACCTCCATTTACTCTGGAAGCTCCTCCAGCTACTCACCGTCTGTGCTCTCACCGCAACCAATGCCCCACGTCACGACTGGTGGTCCAATAACACGTGCCACGCACTCACTACACACTAGCACAGAGGAATACATTGTTCTCTTTAGCCTGCCATTTCTTGGACAATGGGTTCTCCCAATCCGCCCCTTGCACTTGCAGGCGTCCAAGATGCAGAGACGCTCCTATTCTTCACCTCCCGCTTCCCCTTCGGCATCCGCCCTTCGCGTTATGCCCGCCGAGATTCTGCACCATGTACCTCCCAACTCGGAGGACCTTAATTCTGGCGAGCGAGCGACGGGGGTTAGGCCATTCTCTGCGCTTTCCGAGCGACGAGAGCCTCGACTCAGAAGCAGGCAGAGCCGATGTCCTACCCGACCCATGCCGAGGCTTCCAGTCTATTAACGCAAACTTGTCGTGCTGCATGAAGGAGCTGAGCCGCCCGACCACACAGCTACCCTGGCGGTACGTAGCTATGCCGCTCCTCAAGAGGTGGAGCTGACCCACCCATCCGGGGTGCGTGCCGGAGTTCATTGCAGCACACGGTTGTGCTTGGCGGCATTATACACCAAGCGCCCCTGTGGGAAGCAGTCCAGACAGCAGCATTTGCCACTGCAGATACTACTGCCCTATGAATCTTTTGTTTGTGTGCACCGACAAAGCGCTGAGAGACATGACACACGCAAAGTTCAGCAGTAATCGAGGTGCGGAACATTTCCGCTCGTCGGAGGATGTCACTAGTCGCCGCTGATTGGCGATCCTCTTCATGCCGCCGTGCCTGACACTCGCAATCACTATCAAAGCCGATCTGCGCTTGCATCACCCATGTTCCAGCTACACCTCCTTCATCCCCGCGTCTCCATGCTCAAACTGCTCCTCTGCACGCTCGTGACGATTGTCCGACAGTTCCTGAGATGACCCGGCGCGGGGAATGATGACTGACTAGTAGGTATTGTGGCTAAGGCCGTAGGGCTCGGCGCCTTCCGATTATCAGCTGACCCTGAATCGGACATTGGGGAAATTACCCGTTTGGGAAGTCGGTTCTCAACGCTCTGTCACCCGTCCTCACTACCATCGGAGTTGCGCTCAAGAATACCTCACATCTCTGACTCAGCCCGCGCTGTCCCAGAACACTCTGGCGGCATCGGTGTCGGCACGACCATCCTGACGAAAAGACCTAAAAGGAGCCTGTTCGACGGCCCAACAATCTCATCCCAACTTTTTTGACAACTCAGTCATTTCCTTTCATGCTCCACAAGGTCTGCCGACCCAACATCACAACTCACGACCTCAAGCGTCTCCTCATCGCTACCCTCGCCACCACCGCCTCAATGTCCGCAACTCAGACTACCCGCACTCCCAGCAAGATCGTGTACGCCCGCGAGACGCCCGAGGGCGTCGGCGCGACTGTGCGCCGCTCGATCGGCTCCATGAGCCTCCGCAACCTCTCGCCCTTCCTCATGCTCGACCACGCCGCGATCCAGGAGGGCTCGGGCTTCCCCGACCACCCCCACCGCGGCCAGAGCACTGTCACCTACGTGCTCGACGGCATGATGCAGCACGAGGACTTTACCGGATCGGCCGGCAAGCTCCTCCCCGGCGACGTGCAGTGGATGACTGCTGGCCGCGGCATCGTGCACTCTGAAATGCCTCTCTTCGACGAGGACCCGGCCAAGCGCGTCCCGGCCGAGGCCCTTCAGCTTTGGATCGACCTCCCGGCCGACAAGAAGATGATCGAGCCGTCGTACCAGGAGAAGAAGGCGGCCGACATCGACAGTGTCCAGCCCGTCCCCGGCGTCGACATCACGGTGATCTCGGGCGAGAGCCACGGTGTTACGGGCTTCGTCCGCCCCGTCGGCGGATGCTGGTTCATGGACGTCAAGCTTACGCAGCCTGGCGCCTCCGTCTTCCAGCCCCTCCCCGAGGGCTGGACCGCTTTCGCCTACGTTATCACCGGCAAGCTCCAGGTCGGTGAGGAGGCTACCCCCGTTGACAAGCACAACACGGTTGTGCTGTCCGCCGAGAGCGGCCAGAACGGCGTCCTCCTTACCCGCCCCGACGGCACCGACGAGGACACCCGCCTCGTTCTCATCGCCGGCGAGCCCCTCCCCGAGAACACGACCATTCAGCACGGTCCCTTCGTCGTCAACTCGCGCCAGGAGGTCATTGAGGCCATCATGGACTACCAGATGGGCCGCAACGGCTTCGAGCGCGCTCCTAACTGGAAGTCCCAGATTGGCTCCGCCATGCGTCATTAGAATAAGGCTCGCGCACGCCTCTAGTGCGCGCCAACGCTCCAGACTCATACATCATATGTCTCGTCCATTTCAGTCTGTACCATAGTGTACTTTAGCCTATGAAAGTCATCAAGAACACCATTTTGACGCCGTGCTGCTGCTGCTGTGAATTATGATTTGTTTGCATGAGAATCGGTGCGAGATCCATCAGTGACGTATTTGCCTCCGTTGCCACCCGCCTTCTTTCACTCTGGCAGCAATTTCAGACGCCTCCATCCTCCAGATCCCAACTTCCTATTGTTGCTCAAGTCATCTTCGTCACTCCACGTCTACGACAGTACGACAGCGCAAGGACTGCAAGACGTTGTCAGACATGCCAGACACCATTTCGGCTATTGTCTTCTCTGTCAAGCTGTGCTGGGCCTATCCATGGCTGTTGCCGACTCTGCTCGTCGCTGGGTACATCTCGTACAAGGCGCTCGGGCGGCGGTGGCGGCTCAACCGCCAGATAGCGGCACACAGGCTGTGAGTAGCTCCGCAGATAGCCCGCGGTGGCGCCGGACCGACTGGTTTCTGTCTATCTTTGTGCTGGGTGTTGAAGATGATCGTCCCTTCGCCCTCTTCTTTCCCGATCAGCGCTGATAGCAGTGAGGTGCGCCGCCGCGCCGGCATTCCCGACAGCGATAAGCGGCCTTGGCTGGTCGCGCGTCCCGCCGCCGAGTTGAGGCGGCGTGAGAAGGCGAAGGAACTGGCCGAGGCTAGGGCGCGCGCCGAAGCCGAAGCGGCGGCGAAGCAGCAGCTCGAGGAGAAACGTGACGAGGTCGACAAGTGGGGCCACCGCATGGCCGACCACCTGCACCGCATGCAGTCGAGTGGCAAGCCGACGCCGCGTCGCTCGACTCGCCTAGGCCTGAACGACATGGCGTCGTCTGATGATGCGACGGGCGAGATCCTCCCGCCAAAGCTGTATACGTCGGCAGCCCGCCCTTCGACCCTGCTTACCCCGCGTACAGACCGCCGGCCATCGGGTCGCCCGCGTCAGCCGTCGACTCGCAAGTCCCGTGTCAAGAAGCGCGGGCGTGGTGACTCCTCTGAGGGAGACGAGGACGAGGAGGAGCACGACGAGCGCGCTAGTCGGCAGAGGCGGGCACCTCGTAGGTCGAAGGGTGCTCACAACGCCATGATGCTCGACGAAGAACCCAGAGGCAGCAAGCGCTCGCACGATGACGAGGAGAAACCTCGCAAGCGCCGCCGGTGGTCTATGCCAGGCTCGCTGTCGCTGGAGAGCGAGGAGGACGACGAGATGCACGAGCAGATGGACACAGAGGGGAGCGAGAGCTTCAGTGATAGCGCACCTGAGAGTGAGCCCGAGATCAAAACCGAACGAATGGACACGGACGACCTACCGACCACCACGCCGTCTCGGACGACACCTGGCATGTCGCCGGCGCCTCCGCTACTCACGCCGGCTAGGCTGCTCAATGCGGGTGCGCCAGACGATGTGCCGTTCTACGGCGCCGCCGCGCCCGACCTTTCGTCCGCACGGCGACGTACTGACGCTGCCGGTGTCAGGTGGCTGGTAACGCCCGGAGTCGAGTACCGGCAGGCGGAAATACGCATCCCCGTACGGAAGTACCGCATGCCGCGCGACAGCGAGCACCCCGACGCGCTGAAGGGCACGTATGCGAACACGACGGTCTGGATCACGGAGGAGATGTACGAGGCGCTCAAGGCTAACCGCCGCCTGACGTGGCAGGAGCGTGAGCCGTCGCCGGAGCCCATGGTTGTGGAGAAGCGCGAGATCAAGTTAGCTGGCACGCCCCGCGTGCCTGGTCGCATCGGTATCCAACCGCGTCTGTCATCGCGCCCCGACTCGCCATACCTCACTTCACCGCGAGAGTCACGCTACAACTCTCCCATCCCGCGGCGTAATCTTAGTGAGGCCGGCCGCCAGCGCCGGCACGACGAGATGCTCGCCAAGGTCGCGCAAATCCTAGGCACGTCGCGGTACGCGACGGCGACCCCGGAAGAGGAGCACCCAGCACCCGAGGACAAGGGCAAGGGCAAGGCGTCGCTATTCGCCTCGACGCCAGCCACGAGCTCGCCTCTTAAGGCGAGCACTGTGCCCGAGTCTGCGCCGGAAAAAAACGAGCCAAAACCGTTCTCGTTCGGCTCAACTTCCACCGCGCCTTCCGCCGAGAAGGAGGCATCCAAACCATTCTCGTTTGGCTCGACAACCAGTTCTGCGCCTGCGCCTGCGTCTGCCGAGCAGAAAGACATGGCCAAGCCGTTCTCGTTCGGCTCCACACCCAGCTCAACCTCTGCGCCTGCCGAGAAGGACACGGCCAAGCCATTTTCGTTCGGCCCAGGCGCGCCCAAGACTGACGCGAAGGCGTCGAGCCCGCTCTCCCTCGGCGCCACCTCCACCCCGACAGCCGAGAAGACCGAGCCCGCCAAGTCATTCTCCTTTGGCCTCTCGGCTCCCGCACCTGCCAAGACGGACGCGGCGAAGCCTTTCTCTTTCGACACCACTGCCACTTCCGCCCCCGCGGAGACACCGTCCCTCAGCAACAAGCCAGGCTTTAGCTTCACCTCAGCGCCCGCGGACAAGCCCTCTGAGGCTCCCAAGTCGGGGTTTTCCTTCGGCCCTCCCGCCGCTGCCAAGCCCGCCGAGCTCAAAGCGAGCTTCTCCTTTGGCGCTCCGGCTGGCGCCCCGGCCGCTCCCGCTGCTGCACCCGACAAGCCCTCGACAAGCCTTTTCGGCGGCGCCTCTGCCCTGGCGCCAGCCGCGACACCGGCCCTCGGCACTGGCAAGTCCAATTTCAGCTTCGGCTCGTCTTCCGCTGCGCCCGCCGAGACGCCGGCTCTCGGCACCGCTAAGAACGGCTTCTCTTTTGGCAATGCGACCACACCCGCCGAGACACCTGCGCTCGGCGCCGGTACCTCTGGCTTCTCGTTTGGCGCCACCGCCTCCTCCTCCACCGCTGAGTCTCCTGCACCCATCGCTGGCAAATCCTCTTTCTCTTTTGGAAAGGCTTCCACGACTCCAGCTGATACCCCTGCCCTAGGCGCCGGCAAGTCCGGCTTCTCCTTCGGCGCTCCCTCCACCACTCCCGCCGACGCTCCGGCCGAGACACCCGCTCTCGGTACTGGTAGCTCGGGCTTCTCCTTCGGCGCGCCGTCTGCGCCATCCGCACCATCCGCGCCCAAGGCCAGCTTCTCCTTCGGCGCTTCATCCACCCCGACGATGTCTCCTGCCCCTGCCCCCCCTGCCTCAGGCTCCTTGACCTTTGGCCAGGCGAATCCCACACCGGCCCCAGCGTCGACATTCAGCTTCGGCTCTGGCACCGGCTCGGCGCCATCCTCCGGCGACAAGCCTGCGTTCAACTTTGGCTCGGCCTCCGGCTCAGCGCCGACGTCGGCCAACCAGCCCGCATTCAGCTTCAGCTCGGCCTCGACAACGCCAAGCCCCGCCGCAGGCTCCGGCTTCTCCTTTGGATCGGCGGCCCCCGCGGTCTCGACCTTCTCCCTCGGCTCCAATACCAGCTCACCCGCGGCTGGCGGGTTTAACTTCGGCTCGGGCGACCGCTCCATCAAGCCACTGCGTAGGGCGCCCAAGTGACCTCACTGATGTACTATATATACAGTATGCGACGATGAAGATCGCGTAGGCCGCGACTGTCGACTGACGCACCGCTCGCGGACCGACGTCCCTCACCCGGGCGCCGGCCGACCCGCCGCGCGGGGAGCGTAGAGCAACTGCACCACAAAGGACTTGGGGGGCTGAGGCGTGCCCCTACGAGTAGTATAAGGTGCAGACACGACTTGACGGGGCAGGGGCTGTCGATTGTAGATGCACGGACGTGGAGGTTAGTGTCACAGAAAGAAGTGAGTGCGAGGTGGCGCTCTCATGAATGGGGCGCCCGGGGTTTAGTAGATCAGGAGGGCGCACTGCACGCAACATGTGCTGAGAGGATCAACAATGTACATGCCTGTAGTCTCTTCCATTCAGCCCAACTCGTCCTTCTGTTCTTCACCTGCGCGTCAGCAAACCTTCCCCGAGACGCATAGCACGCAGCTCTACAAACCTTGTTATGCAGTCGGTTTCAGTCGTGCGTGCGATCACCGACCGTGTCCGGCAGCAGCGCGGTCTTCCTCGCGCGCCATGCTCTTGAGAATGGCCTTGGCTTCATCGTTCGATTCCGAGTCCCAGGGGCGGCAGCCGTAGGCGAGGCAGAAGGCTGTCCAGCCGCCGTACGACTTGACAATGTCCTTCTCGGTCTGCGAGGCCATGGGGGGAGCTGGGGTGAGCGTTGTGCGGGCAGGAGGTGGGGAGGCAATGGCCGAGAGGGGATGGGCGAGAGACCGTGGGCGGTAAATGCGTATTTGGGTGGTGAGGAAGATGTTCGATCGCAAGGAGGTGGGCTATGGCGAGCTCCAGACCACGGAGGAGGTAGTGGGGGCCACGACTCGCACGACTCACCGAGACCGTCGGAAGCGGGCATGATGATTGAGCGACGGAGAATGAGTGATGGAGAGGGAACGATGGGGAGTGAGTGAGCGTTGAGAGTGAGAGAGTGGGTGAATGAGAGAAGGAAGGAACGACGCATCGCGCTTTGACATCGGTGGCAACCCCGTCACCCAAGGCCGGCGGTATGTGCACTGGCCGGATGAAGTCACCCCGCAGGCCTCGTGGGTGCCTGGGCTGGGTGGGCTACGCAGCGATGTCGTGGTGGGAACCGTGAAACGTATGCCTCGCCCGTCGTGCTCGCGTCGAGCCATCAGCCGTGTGCGCGCGACGACGGCTACATTGCCGTCTGGAGAGGTGGAGAGTGACAGAGCGTAGAGGAGGAGAATGGAGACAGAGAGAGAGGGTGGGTGCATGCTGACAAGCTGTCAACAACCGCAACTAGGCCGGATGTAGGAGTCACGTGGGTGCCATGGGGACCAAACTGGTGCGACGGCCTAGCGCGCAGCAGCTACGAGCTGCGCAAATGAACTCTGGCATCTGGAAGCGTTGCCAAATTGCGTATCGCATTCTGGTGGTGGCGAATGGAGGTGCGATCCAGCGACGTACTGTGCGATGCGCACTGACCGCCAGCCGCCAAGTCGGAGCGAGCGAGCTGATGGCGCTGACGGCATGGGATCAGCTCCCATCCTCCCCACGCTCCTCCTGTGCTCTTCTATGCTCTCCAGAAAGACTAGAGGCGCAGGAAGCGACGTCCTAATATGCAGAGAATACATGAATTATGGCGCCGTGGCGGCGTTATTTCTCGCATCCACTGCTCAGGCGTTGTAATAGTGACATGTGTATGCGTTAATCAGACAGATGAGGGGTTGAAGATGGTGCTATATTACAGGCAAGTAGCCGTTGGTCGTTGGGACAACACGTTTGCTGCAGCAATCGTGTTCAAGGCTTGTTGCGCGCCAGCCGCTCGCGGAAACGGCTGGCTGCGTCGCCACTGTCCTGACGCGTCGGGGACGGCGGAGGGCGGGCGGGAATGGCGAACTTCACCTTTCGAGACTCGGTCGGTAATGATTGGGGGTGCGACTTCTGGGCAGAAAGGGCTTCAGGCGGCGGGCGCGGCTGTGCGGGATGTGGGGATGGCGAGGGCGATGGAGGTGAATCGGGGACCGTCTTAGGTTCCGTAGAGGAGTCAACGGGCTTGACGACAGAAGAGGGATTGTGCGCAACGATGATCGCTGCCATGGACGCCTTGGGACCTGGACTCTCGGGAGGTGCGTCTGGCGTCAGCCTCGAGATAAGCGTCACCATGTTGAACACGCCCGCCGACGACCCGCCCTCTGCTCACTCGCGAACAGACTCACCCTGTACTGCGCTGATAATCCGCAGACACCGTGCGCCGAGGAGACAGGCGCTTTGTTCCTCTGTCAACGTTCCTGACTGAGCAATTGCGCGCCAGGCGTCGTGGATCGCATCGAAGTCTGTTTCCGGCGACATGTGTGAAGGCGGCGGCGGAGTGATGGGGCAGCGATGGGGCAGCGACGAGGACTCAGTGAGCTGCTGGCCGCTGGACAGCTGGGTGGAGGAGTGGTCGGTGTGCGGGAACTGGCACAGCCGTCGGGCGTCGGAGCGGATTTGCTGATGCCAGCCTGACAAGCTGCTGACAAGGTGTATGCGATAAGGCGAGATGGAATGAATGTGTGGACAGAAATGCAAAGACAGGCGCGGTTTTGTTGACATTTGACACACAAAGCTCGCCCCTGGGCCCTGCGTGGCGCTGATGGCGTTGGCTGACCTGACCGCAGCCATCACTCTGTAGGCAGCGGGAGCGTGCCGCACAGCCTCATCATCAGCCGTGCAGGCTCTCTGTTACCTGCTCAACATATGCTTGACAGGAGTTGCAAGCCATGCGCGAGAGCCACGCGCGCTTGCAGAGGTGCTCATGCCGCTCGGCCGACATTACGCTGACGCGCCCTGCAGAATCCAGGCACTCAATCGGCGGCGTCGGTGACGTCCGATATCTATCATGGACCGCATGGGCCCTCACTCCCGATACCTTGCAACGCCGCATCACCTTTAAACTCTCCGTTGTTCTTCTTCATCTTCATTCATCCATACCAGGATGAAGCTCCATCTCGCCCTGCTCGTGCCCCTCGCGGCGGCGTTCCGCCTCCCATCGCCCGAGGACGTGTTCGCTGTCGCGGGCGACCTCCTCGCTGAAACGCCAGACCGCGTCCTCTCCCCCGCGAGCGACATCACACTCGCATCCATTCCCAACGACGAGCACTATACTATTACCTCATCCATGCACCCTGTGAGTAATTGCGCGGTCTGCGGGGGTGTGAAGAAGAGCGGCGTGGCCCGGTGGCCGGAAGGCAGACCGCTCGCCACCTCGATTAGCGCGCTTACTCCAGGACCACAAGGTGCGCATCAAGAGCACCGAGGGCTGGTGCGACCCCGATGTCAAGTCATTCACTGGGTGGGTCGTCTTAGCGAGTTTGTTGCAGCCTGGTTATAATCTCTCCGGCTCCTCCGCTCCGTCGCTCACACCAGGTACTTCGACGTTGGCGGTGGCAAGGATCTCTTCTTCTACTTCTTCGAGTCGCGCGGAAACCCCAAGGAAGACCCCGTGATTATGTGGATCAACGGTGGACCCGGTTGCTCGTCTTCGATCGGCCTCTTCATGGAGCTCGGCCCCTGTACGGTCGCCGACAACCCGAAGGGCGTCAACGACACCAAGCGTAACCCTTACTCGTGGAACGAGCGTGCCAACATCTTCTTTGTTGATGAACCCGTCAACGTCGGCTTTTCGCAGGCGCGTCACGGCCAGGTCGTTGGCACTGCCGAGGAGGCTGGCAGAGACATTGCTGCGTTCATCAGCATCTGGTTCGACACGTTCTCCGAGTTCCGCGGGCGTGAGTTCCACATGGCTGGCGAGTCGTACGGCGGCCGCTACCTTCCTGTGTTTGCGTCAGCTGTGCACGACCAGAACAAGTGGCTGGAGGCACAGGGTAAGGACCCCATCAATCTCAAGAGCGTTATGATCGGTAACGGCATTACCAGTAAGTTGTGCGTGATGATCCCTCAACTGATGGCAGGCTCGTACACAACCACCGAGTCGTACTTCCCTTACCAGTGCACGGTGCACGCCGACCTGAACCAGACAGTCCAGAGCATTGGCAAGTGTATCGAGATGGCCGAGAGTGTGCCACGCTGCAAGAGGATGCTCGAGAAGGACTGCATCAACTCGCACGACGCCACTGCTTGCTCCATTGCGGCCGGCTACTGCACTGACACGATCGGCTCATCATTCATATATGCGGGTGTCAACCCGTACGACGTCTCCAAGCCGTGCACGCTCGAGGAGCTCTCTGACTCCCTTTGCTACCCGGAAATCAAGAAGATCGGAACGTACCTCAACCTGCCGGAAGTTCGCAAGTATCTCGGAGTCGAGAAGGAGGGCAAGTGGGACTCGTGTGACAACGGCGTTGGGAGTGCGTTTGCTGCCTCGCTCGACGCCTCCGGCCAGACGTGGCTGTATGTCTCGCAGCTCCTTGAGCGCGGCATTTCCGTCCTCAACTACGTCGGCACCCTCGATTTCATTTGCAACTACATTGGCAACGAGATGTGGATGGAGGCGCTCGAGTGGACTGGAAAGGACAAGTACAACGCCGCCGAGTACAAGGAGTGGGAAATCGACGGAAAGAAGGCGGGCGAGTACAAGTCACACAACAAGCTTACTTTCCTCAAGATTTGGGGCGCAGGACACATGGTCCCCATGGACCAGCCGAAGCGTGCCCTGTCTTTCCTCAACCACTGGCTCAAGAACGGAAAGATCGAGTAGACAGTGAACGTAGGAGTAATGGGCCGTTTCTGGCGCCCTTGATGGTCGCTGCTACGCTGTCTACTGTCGAAAAGGCCCCGCGCGGAACTGCCCACAATCAATGAAATATGTGAAGCACATAGGCGGAGCACAATGGCTCGCCACGCCGGCTATCTCTCGAGTGCATCAATCAGCACCATGACCACAAGCCGCAAACAATTCACGCAGTTTCGCGCTCACATCACTGACGACTTACACTGCTGTGCCGCTGACGAGGGGCCGGAACATTGAAGGCAGTGTTCCACGACAAGCCCCCACAATGGCTCTTCGCATCATCGCATCACTCTCACGGCCTTGATCCCCACCTCACTCAGCCTCGTCATCCGTCTGTATGTATCTCGCCTCACACCTTGTTTTCACGTTCTCAGCTACCCACGGGTCACCTTTCCTCGCTCTCGTCTCACTCTCACGCGCTCGCACCTGCAGCAGGCATATAAACGGCACGCTGCCACTCCCATCGTTACCCCTCTCCTCTCCTCTCCCTCGTCACCCCCCTCCTATTCTCTCTCCCTTCACTTCCTTTCCACGCCCCCTCTCATTTTCTCTCGCTTCAACTTCTCCCTTCACAAATCTCCTCATCCCCTCCCTCATCCCCTCCCTCATCCCCTCCCTCATCCCCTCCCTCATCCCCTCCCTCATCCCCTCCCTCATCCCCTCCCTCATCCCCT